ATCACTAAGAAGATCTAGACAAACAAGGCATTAGTTACTACCAGTAATCAATCAATCTAGATATTGAGTTGAATTTCATCGATCCATAATGTACAACAAATTCATTAGAATATCAGAGGGGGTTTTGCGGATATTATAGTAATTTTAATAGTTGAGATCATGAGTCAATTAAGGCTAGACCACCATGGAAAACCTGGAAGCACTGGACGACCGTTTCGTTCTATTTTGGGACTTCTAAGCAGTGCGTATCCATGATCCTTCCTCGCGAGATTCGAACCCATGACCTATCCAGTCTCACGAGCAAACTCTTAAGCGTAAAACCATCGAGCAGGAATATGTAAAACATTGTAAAACATTTCTACGTACAAAAATGTTTACTGGTTTTATAGGCATGAATATATTTTGATATTAGCTGGAAAAATAACAAATTTTCAAAGGAGTAATAACTCAGTGTTAGATACAGTAAAAGTTTTTATGTAGATGTCAGTTTTGATTATCCTTCAGCTTGTAAATAATTAGATAGATAGACAGACAGACAATCAAAGATAGACAGAATGTAATTCGATCTCATCATCAGTAGTTCATATTGATGTAACAAAAGGGGAAAAATGAATCCAGCTATTAAAAGTCATCATATTATTAAAATACGACCGACTAAGGATTTTGATTTCTCTACAGTGACTTCAAAATATTGTATTAAATAAACAACAATCACCAAAGAATTTATGATTAAACTTGATGCCATAATCGAATTGACCAACCAATTCTTAACTCTGTAGTATAAAGGGAAAGGTTTCATTTAAACAGTAATCAGGCTTCTATATCAACATTTTATTAATGAACGTAAGATATTTATAAATGGCAGCAATTATTGTTGGGTAATAACAAACTAAACTGTATTCCAAATGTTTTGAAGAAAAAGAATACACGTTTACAGGATTCACCCAAGTGATATATAGTTCAAGAGTGAAATGATTGAAATCATTTGAATTGCTTACACTTTGCGTTGCCGATTGTATTAAAAACATAAATCAATAGGAACTGATTACGTTATTGGTTTGTTCACAGTAAACTATTAAGAGAGTCAAGCGATATACTAAGTAGAAAGCAGTTATGGTGTTTAAATAAACAGACAGGTATGGATATCTATGTACATTTGATAAAGATATTGATAAACTATTCAGTAAGCTTAACCTTTTAGAACTTAACGACTCAACCATCAAGTTACTATAATACGATCGATGTACAATAATATTTATTCAAATTGATGAGCAAACAAACATTTTTAGTTCAGGAGGCAGTATTAAATCATTTAAAATACTCTGAGCACTAGATGAAGGCACTTTTATGTACCATAAAATAAGTAATTCGGTTTTTTATTTAAGTTTTACGAAAAAAAGACGAAGATTATCTCTTTGAATTGGGTTGGTTCACCCCTATATTATAGTTATACAGCATTATTTACCAGTACAAACTTGGCATCAGATTGTTGACTCAGTAATCATTGGAATATATATATGATTATGTATGAAAATCACTTCAAATTTAATAATGAGTCGAGTTGTAGACCATTTAATTGAAAAAAATGTAATTTAATCGAGTATTTTAAATGGAATTAGGATTATTTCCATCAAGAACTGATTGATGACAATTGAATAGCTGTTATGAAAGAAAGCTATGAAGCAGTGGACTGTTGTTTTAATCTTTTCTCAGTAAACACTATTGACTTCATGAAGTATTGAATTCAAAATTTTATCTACAGAAGGAGATCAAACTCTGACTTTATTGCATCTCATTAAAGTTACAACTTGAATATGAGGGCAAATGTAATTGCTGATTGTGGTGGTATGCGAATAAACAGAGACATTTAAAATGTTTGTTCAATTTTTAAAGACAATTTTAACTGTAGACTGATATCCATTGAAAAACTAGGACATATTAAGTGCTTGTTTTATCCACGTATAGGACTATTTAATAATGTACGTCGACTAACTCTTACAAAACTGAATCCAATATTATAAAACGAGCATGGTATTATCGATCTGATACAAGTAATATCATTCAATTTCGTTTGACGCCATAGATAACAGCGTTTGACTAGGATTTTTATTAAAGGAATGTATTATTATGATAAATCATTAGAAGGTAAGAATGATCCATCAGGTAATCAAGCCATATGACACCTTCATACAGTAACCTGGGGTCTACGGAAGTGAAAAGATTCAAGAGTGATTCAGATAAACATAATGTTTGGTGTTATTCAGTTTGAAGATTTTTTATATCACGGATTAACCTTAGCTAGGTAAAGATTGGAATACAGGAATTACTAAAGGGCCGTTTCGTCCTACTACGGAACTCTTCAGTAGTAGTAAGTACCCAAGACCCCAACTAGTTGTATACATTTTCATTTGGCTTGCCAATATAGCTTTATAGTTATTTTCTTTTTCTTACTCATGGAACATGTTGAGCTTGAGTACAGGAAGGCATATGTAAGTAAACGAATCAAACCTCAGTTATGAAACATGAACATTTGTTCATTACATGTCTATCTTCTGTGAATGAGATATCCCAGGTATACCGTCGATTCACATTTCAATAAAATATCTAGGAGTGAAATAATCTCCTTTTTGTCCAAGGTAAATTCAATAGATGAATGAAATATATCAATATTTGCCGTTCGAATTTAATTTTTCCATCAAAATTTCGTGTTCGTCGACAAAACAGATGAAATTCAAATGCAAAACGTGTGTTGAATACACAATGTTATGACCAAACTAATTAGATTTTGATTAGAAAGCGAGATGTCATTTTTTATCGTCCTGAGTGAATACTATTGGGGAGTTAAACAAACGTTTCAGATTGACGTTTTGCGGCTATTATTTTCATTGGTAGGTAGTTTTTTCCGGGAGTGAATATCAGTATAGAGTACTACTGAAAGCTAAGAAAGAATGGACAGTTGGTTCACGTCTCCATACGGTGTTCCAGCCAGTTTGGTTGGTAAAGCCTCTTCCAGTGAAGCCTATTTAGGCCCTTCTGGAATGGATTCCATGTTTTCAAGGCTCACAAACCCATTGCGTGGATGTGACTTTATGGGGAACCGCGGCCCTGCAGGTCTTTTCGGGTATTTCGGTATCGTAATAAGATCAAGTAAAGGATTTTTTGGTTATTATTTAACCTGGATAGGAATAGTCTGTGTGAATACTAAGTAATACACAGATTTTCATCCGGATATTCATTGGTTTAGATACAGGTATACCTACCCTGTGAGAAAATCTGCGTTACATACACACCTGTAACAGTTTTAATCACATGTCCTACAGCATACACATAGGTATATTCATCCACTTGGGAGGGTAGATGTTCACCACTCCCTTGAAAACATATTTGCTACACTAGACTCTTACACATTACTTGCATATCATTCAACCCATGGCTACCGTCACAGTACTTCCTGACACACAAATAAACATAAGCATTCTCTCCGGGGAGGTTGTTGGCCACCTCCCTTTAGCATTTGCTACTATGTCTTCAACCTGATAGATTAAGCCGCTGATTTTATTAGACATAGGGTAGATATTTCTGCCAACGATTCCATTGCACGACACTACACGTACACTGTCTGCATGTACCTACACAGGCCCGGGGACTTATGCAATCCTTACACATAAGCGTACACATCAGGTGACCCTGAACGATTAAGTAGGCTTCGAGTAGAACCCAAGTTTGATCGGAGTGGGTGACCAATCCGACCTCCGTCAACCAATTACGTTGGCTAGCAAGGTTGCTCCAACTTTCCAGTAGCGCCAAGAGGAAACCTTAGGTCATATTTTGCTTCCACGTCTCCACAGCTAGACATGAAATTCATCGTCCCGACCTCTTGGCAAAATTGTAAATGAAAACTACTGACAGGCTCTATATTGAGATAAAACAATTGTTCAATGTTTGCTGGTTTCTAATCATATCCCACCCAATGTCAATTTGCGAAGTAAACTATGTAGATATTTCAAAATTGTATTAAAAATACATAATAGAATAACATTCACTATGATGCTGTGAATTGATTTAAAGATGACTACTACAATTGGGAGAAATTAGGGAGAACATTGTCTTCCCTATCCTATTTAATGAATTTATGTGCATTTCAATGAGTATATTATTGGTGAATTTTGCACTGATGAGATCTGGGATTGCTTCAAAGTGTCGCTCTTTGGAGTATCAAAAACAGTTATAACATGGATTTCATAACTTTGTATCATAGAGGATCGATCTTTCGGTTGGTTGAGGATTCTAAAAATACAATCAATATAATTAATTATCAAATGATATTGGTTGAGGGAATTTTGTCTTACGAAACACATCTGAAAGAGGACGGAAACTGATTTTGTTTTGCAGATAAATTTTCTATATGACTACTGTAACGTCCTTCTTACTATTATCGGAAATATGTACTTTAAAATAAAATAATTCGATGGTTATTCGAAATATTTAACTTGGTTCTTCGTAGATTGTAAAAAAACATTTGATCATTCTAAAGGCTATTTTCATTTTGAACGGAAATCATGTGGAGAAACCAATAAAGGACTAGTAGGTAGAGCATTTTATTCCTATTTGAACTTACTACACAAGGTAAGACGTAGAGCGACAATACCAAGTCGCTAAGGATAAACTACGGATATAAAGTTATTATTACTAAACAGTCAATATTCGTCAAACCATTAGACATGAAAATGATGATGAATAAACTGATTATTATTGAATTACTAGCACTTTGTTGTTAAGCCGCTTCCTACTTCAGGTGTTAACCTGAAATCTATCATGTTTTTACATGAAAATGAACGGTAACAGGATGGTTATACTATTAGCAATGATCGTTAAACGGTGAGTGTACAATTAGTAACACATGATTCTTAACTAAGATTTCATTAGTTCGAACCCTGTTCCGTCTATTTCAGTTCAGACAAGTATTTAATATTACTAGTCTAAACACAATTGAATAGTGACTAAAAATGAATTTTTACTTGACAAATCAAAATACTACACGTTGGATCTAAGCACTCGGTTCAACTGTATATCGGACATTGATATATTAATCACTTAACTTCAATCAACTGTTTTTACTGTTAATCACTATTTAGGATCAGTTAACTTTAGATGTTTTATATAATTTACTTTTTTGAAAACAAACAGACAAGTAGCAACAACGAACAAAAAAACCGGTATACATCCGTTTAAATCTTTGAAATCGAACAATTTGTTTTAACAAACAAACGAGTTCACCAAATTTTCACACACACACACACACAGTGAGTGAGACCAGCATCAAGAAATGAAATTTTAATTAAGAAAAAAACACTGACAAATTACACAACAAACAAAACAAAACACCAATGACATTCGATTGTTTGTTTCGTGAAAAACATAACATTAAGTCAATAAATCAATAAATAAGCAAATCAATTAAAATCAAATAAATATTGTATGACGTAACAGAATGAATGAAAAGATAGATTAGTGGTTGTAGTAGTAGTAGTAATAGTAGTAGTGGAAGTACTTGCTAGAATATGCTTAATATCAAGAAAGTAATAAGTAAATGAAACTTTTTCACAGAAACAACAAACACGATGATGGCATCGGCGGCGTCAGCAATAGCGGCAGTAGTAACAACAATGAAAGCAATAACAAGAGACATCTTAACGATAGTATCATCATGATAATGATTATCAATAGTAAATGTACAGAACCAGAATAAAAATGAACAAGCAGTAGGTAACTATGGCACAAACAAATCAATAATACAATAGAAATTGATAATGTGCGTAAGAGGTAGAGTTATAGTTAAAAACAAAATTATAATGATTAATTGGTAGAGAAAGTGGAAACCGTCAAAAAAAACCTAAATGAATAATGTGAGATTTAACGATGAGGATAATGATGTATACAGAATTAATAGTATTCATATTAGTCCCAATGTTACAAATCATTTACACATGAATCAATCCATAAGAAAAGGAAGGGAAATAGAGGGGGGACAAATGAAGAGACTAAGTTATTTACATAATGAGATGAAAGATTACCAGTATCTGTCGTAAGAAATACATAGAAATGGTACAAATTTCAAAGTAAGAAAAGTCAATACACAATACATTGATGTTGTCGTATATCTCAAAGAAATTTAAGTGTTTATTATTGGTAGAATAGCAAATTCGGCAAGTACACACATAAGAGTAGGCTGGGAATAGTGGGATAGAAGTAGAAAAATAAAAGTGTGATGCTTTTGAATAGAATATTCGACTAGTTATGCATATTTATTTATAGTTATAAGCAACAGACAACACAGAGATGATTATTATTTGACGTAGACAAACACACAAATATACATACATGTAATATGGAATAAAATAGTAGAGAGTAGAAAATCTTGGATCAGATTTAGCAGATAAAAATAGTTTAATTAGTGTTGTTATCTTTATGATTAGTTCGTTCTCAGTTAGTATCTTCTTTACAGTTATTATTATTACTATTACCACCAACGCTACCAAAAGTGTGATCAGGATTAGCATCATTGTTATCTTCATTTGTAGTTGGTGTTGTGCTGTTTGTAGTACCAGTGCCAGAAGTAGTAGTAGTAGTGCTAGTAGACGTAGTGATAATCGTTGTCGTAGTAGTAACAGGAATTATTTGCACATTATTAGTATCCTCATCAACATTAACATCACTGATCACATCTACAGTAAACTTATCCTCAACAATTGTCGTATTTAATTCAAATGGTTTAGAAGTTCGACGACGTTTATGCTTTATGCCATCTTTGCGCGAATTGATATTACGTAGAGATGAAGATGAAGAACCATTAGTTGGCATTGAATCACCAGTAGTATCTTGATTAAAGCTTGATTCTGATGTTGGTATACTACTATCAATATTAGTACTAGGTTCTGTCAATAATAATGTACCAGATTCCAATTGATTTACTCTTGTATATTGATCGACATCTTGTTCATCATCTTCATAATCTTCTTCTTCTTCTTCAACAACTGGTTCTAAACCAGGATCTTCTTTGACCTCTAAAACCTTGAGGAAGTTGGATAGTTTCAGGACGGTGGGGGAAATAGAAAAGATAAGAAAATAAACGCGGTAGGTTAGATAAGAAATTACACAAAAACTTAAGGCTGAACAATATCGAATATTATTTTTTACGAAGTTAACTACAATAAAGTGAGTTATCTAACTCCATTCTTATCGAATAAATTCTTTACAACAGTTCTCGAAAACATTCTATTTGAGCAGACTGCTCATTATTAGATTCGTACCAAAATATTCCAGAATAAAGCACAGTGCAAATTTGAATATTCATAAAAAGCGAAAGATTTTGTTTGTAAATCCCGATCAGCAAATTTATCTAGTGACTAAAAAATAATATTGTGTTCGTCTAATCTTCAGTTCAAGTGGAAGTCTATCGATCTAATTGTTGGGTAATTACTAGTTTAAGTGACTTCATATAGCATTCACTATTGTTTGATATTTAATAGATGGATGAAACCAATAGGGAGTTTCGGACATAGGTATCGTGTTTGCAACCGCCTCTCGGCGAGACCAGTGTGAAATTTCATCAGTGACCAACCAATCAAACCGTTAGACAAGTGAAACCGTTCAGATGAACACATTCGATATTATCAACTAAAAAGTAGATAAGTGGACGCATACATTTGCGTTATAAACTGTGATGTATAAAAGATTACAAAACATTTTGCTCAGATTTGTATGTCTTTATATGCATAACTTCGTTTCCATATTTTAATCATGTACGTGTTTGTGTGAACCAATTTGAAAATATAATTTTAACCAGCTGATGAAGTACGGTTACAAACCTTAAGTTTCTATCAAAGAAAGTAAATTGTTCAAAGTAGATAGTAGCTTTCTATGCACTACACTACAAAACGTAACTATATCGGTCTTGTTGTTAGTTAACTTAACGATTACTGACTTACTTTTGGTAAGATTAAAATTTTATTCCCTAACTTCAAGACTGATTAATCAAGGCATACATGCAATACTTTGATAAAAACTAATTATGAAATATTGATTAGGAAATTCCAGATTGTTTCTGGCCGAATTTTAATGTGTTGTACACTGATATCATAGTTGTGTTTAAAGGGCTGCTCTACACGGCATTCTAAGTCCACTTTAAAATTGATATACAGATACAGCCCTTCACATCTAACCGATTAAAGTCAATCATTTCGATTTAAAATAAACAATTGTAAAATAAACAACTGTAAATATCTACGAAACGATTGGACGAATTATGGAGAATAGTATTTTGACATTTGTTAGATCTCTCACCCTCTTTTTGAGACTTAATATCTAATACCAAAAAAGTAACTACCATAAAAGCTCTACTCACTTCAACAGATTGAGCTGGAAGTGATAATGATACTACTGGAGTGGGAACTGTACCACCACCACCGACTACAGATGCAGGAATAACAGCAGCGGGCAATTTTAAACCACCGACATTGACCAAAGAAACAGATTCATCTGTCATAGGTATTGTTGTACCAGTAGTATTAGCAGTAGTATCCAATGTCTTACTATCCAACAATCCAGTGACAACACCACTGGCAGCTAATGTCGATGTTGGCTCTGTTGAAAAAATCATATGATGACCGGACGATATCGGTAGACAATTTACAGAAGATTGAGGAATAATAGATGGTGATAATTGATCAGTGGTTGAATTCTGTGACTTTAAGGCATCGATCACTGTCAATGAAGTTGAAGATGGCGCTACCATCGGTTGATTTACTGCATAATGACTGTCAGTGACGTCAACACGTCTGCTAGTAGATGTCGGATCAACTGGTGCCATACAATTCACGTCTATGGATTGATATTCACTGATCATATTACCCAGTTGTTGTTGCTGTATATAATATTCATGATCAGTTGTTGGCAACGTCGGTGAAGTGATATTATATTCATAACTATAATTTGTATGGTCCACATGATTTGGCATTAACTCAATGGGACTGTATGATGATTTTGGCTTATTGGAAAATTCTCTTTTTGATAACCAACGTAAAGGACAGCCAAGAAGACAAGAGATAAATAAAGCAAAAGCAGAAAATATAAAAGCCATAGATGATGCGTTATGCGTTGGTGCACTATGCACTGTAGAAATACTGAATGGTGATGTTTTATCTATTTGTAAATCTCTTAAATAACCTAGAGGATAAAAATAAGCACAAGAAAACAACATCAAGAGATGAGCCAAAAATTCAATCGGAAAACATGAAACTATCACATTCCTCTCTATGCTACTTATAAGTAGGATTGATTTTATTAAGGTACAAAAATGGCAATGCGATGAAGGTGAAGAATGATGAGGATGAGTAGACGACATGCATTATCACAGAAATAGATGATAATGAAATAAAATTTGATTTCAGTAAATTACAGCATTATTTATTGACATGAAAAATGAGTGTTTCCTACTTCGAATCATTTAAATTGAATTACAGAATGAGAGAACAATCGAAAAAAAACTGAGAAAATACTCAAAAATCAAACACACACACACAATAGTATCTGTGTATGCGTGTGAGAACAGAAAACGATCTCTAAACAGACAAAATCTAAAATAATTTATATCGAAACAATCATGGAAAATTAATTTAGAATAAATGACAGTTCTATTTGAATCATTATTCGTTCTTAGAAATAAAAAAGGTAATTATTGTACATAAGTTAGTAGTGTTTAAGAAAAGTTAGATATTGGCTAACAGTGGAACCTAAGATGTGAATTTCATTTTATCTAAGACTCATTAGCCAAATGTACGTACCAAGTTCAGTCTTTCATGAAAACAACACGACAATTGAAGCCCTTACAATCAAACCAAGTGAGTAGTAGTTCAAAATGCTGAACTTCTCTTTTAAACTATAGTTCTTATTTTTGCGTTTCACTAATCATCCGTAACTATCCAACTAACTTAATAAAGATACATCAATAACGGATGGATCGAAGTTAGGCATTTACATTATTGCATATCGGCTCAGTGGTCTAGAGGTCAATCTTTGGCGCGTGAGACAAAGGGTATTGTGTTCGAGTCCTGTGTATGTGTGCATAGCTGAGGAGTCCTATACTGGGATAAAAAGAGCGTCCAGTGCCTCCACATTTCCAATGATGGTCTAGCTTAGATCGGATCGTAATTTCAACTGTCTAGACATATTTATTGAAAATGATTGCTTTTTGAAAACCTAGAATATTAGATAAGTTGATTGGAGTGTGATATATGACCATAAGCAAAACATTTCAATTCCTATGATGAAATAATACCATTGAATATACAAGTATAAAATGACAGTAAGGTGCTCAAATTAAATAGCTAATAATTCTTTAGACATCTGATCTACAAACAGAAGATGAAATATAGAATCATTTCCAACTTATGCATATTCCCAAATCCGATCCATGATTACCTGGTAACTGCGATAAATAAAACCAGTGAGTATGAATATCACGCGTCCTAAAACACTCTCATTTATTGAGCTTTCTGATCATATCCTCAGTTGTTTTTTCCGATCATTCATTGGAACAAAAAAGTCTTTCTATGGGGTACTCTCAAGCGGTAAACGTCAACCATCGAGAAAAACTTTCACTGAGACATACTTGAATTTATTCTACATATTGTGACATCATTTATTGATTATAAACTGATACAACTATATCTCGATTTATTCATTAAAACTTGAGTGAAAGTTAAAGTAAAATTTATTCATTAAAGAATAACAATGAAATTAAATGTAGACATCATTGTCAACAAAGAAGGTGATGATTCTAATGAGAAAATGAATAATAAACCAATACATTACATAATACTATATAAAAACAATATTATCAAAATTGATGAGAAATTATGATTGATCTAATCTATTAGAACAATTAAATCAGATCAAAAATGAAATAAGATTTAATACAGAGGAAATGATCACTTCTTACTACATTGTCTTTCTTATACACCAAATAAGAACTCTAAGTAAAGATGATAAAATAACAATAAAGACATGGTAAATAAACTTTATTTTAAATTCATTTAATGCATGTACTACTATTATTACTATTATGATTGCTATTAGTCAATAAATTGAATGTAAACAGGTAGCTTGGTGATTTTTAAAGCAGCTAACTAGTGTTACTTACAGAGAATATTTTAACTAGGTCACAAATATTTAAAGTGTACATCAAAGCTAATTGTACATAGGCACTTGTATTTGATTAGTGAATTACAGTGAACTCATTTAATCTTATTGGCATGACTAATATGTTATTTTCTGGAAAGAAATATTCAGATAGTCCTTCACAGAACAATTGTAAACATGTGAACAAATAGCTTATATGATGAGTCTCTTGAGTTATTTCTCGTTAGTCTTAAACCTTATCCTAATTATATCATTTAATTTGTCATTATAAGGATGTATTTGATGTATTTAAATAAAATCGTTACATAGGAAAATAAATCAAGCAACAATGACGATGGTATACCTAACACAGTGGTTTTTGTTATTCTGTGACCCTTAATTTTGTATTCTTCTTTTTCGTCATAGAAGTATATAAGTAGCACGCGAAATGGGATCGAAATGTCCCATCATTTCATTGTTTATTTCTCATCTTGCAAAATATTTATCATTACGAAAACGTTCATGACATTGTTATTGTCTATTTCTTGGTGAAAAATTATGTTCTTATGACACTGATTAATACAGACAATTGAAATAGCAGAAGGATTGGAGGGATGAGAGAGTCTTTAAAGGAGAACTCAAAGAAGATATGCAAACGATGCATTCAATATATTATTCATATATATTACAAATATAGTGCATGACTTTGCATATTATGACATTGGTTTACCCTACCCAAGTCTTCATTTGTTATAGTACTTGTAAATTAATGTGTATTTTGTATTACAGTCAGTCAGTCAGCTACAACGTACGACCAGGCACAAATATGCATCGGTCCAAGTTGCCATACCTCATTTACACAACAAGATGGACACCGGATTCATAAAAGTAGTTAATTCAGAGGTGGTAATGTATAAAAGAAAGATTGTAATAAGGATATAGTACAGGAAGAAAGAATTAGTTGGTAGAAAGAAAGATATGAAGCAATTTTAATCTCTTAGTTTAAGGGAAGACAGAGAGTGTATACACCGACGCCATTGTGATCGATTCTGAGCCATATTACCAAGAGTCTCCAACCATTGGTTACGATAGTCACGCGGACCCCAACCAAGTAGTCTGCATCTGCCAACACAGCTCAGACTTGAAGTTAGTGACTTCAAGCATTGATGCCACGTTTTGGTTTGACCGCCCATAACTTTCTTCCAACCATCTCCAATACCGGATAGCATTGCACGTCGTGGTAACTGGTGTTCGGGCATACGTAACACGTGGCCCAACCATCTCAGTCGATGAAGATTCACAATCTCATCAACTGATTTACCATCATTCCCTAATACTCTGCGTCTAACCTCACTATTACTTACCCGGTGATCCCAGCAGATGCCAGCAATATTTCTGAGGCATCTGTGGTCAAATACTAATAGCTTACGAGTGTCTTCTACTCCTAATGGCCATGTTTCGCTGCCGTAAATTAAAACAGAACGGACTGCCGCGTAGTATATTTTGTATTACAATGATTAATGTACTTATTATCAATTGTTGGAAAGAATTTATTGATTATCTCTCTATAATAAAAACAAACGTTTTAATACAAAATTAACTCAAGTTAATCGCAAACAATCAGAAATTTGTTACTTATTTGAAAGAAGATAAAAGAAAGAGAAAACACTATACAAAGCAGATTAATGTACTTTAGAAAAGATTTTTCAAAGGAAAACAAAAAGAACGACTTATTCTTGGATCAATACATAGAGAATAAATGAAAATGTGTACAGTTAGAAAATATTTTACACAATCATATAGTTAATATGTAGTTATTAAACAAATGGTTCGCGGTATTCGTTTTAAACACACTATTCTAATCGTCAAGTTTTATTTGATTTATATTTATGGTGTATTATGGTTTAGTTATTTAATGTATGTAGTAATTATGTCCTAGTGGGTGGCTTATGCTTCTTCATGAGGGGTAACATGTGTAAGTAAATAAATCGGTAGTCATGTAGGCTTTTAATTCAGATTAATACTGAATCATGTGAAAGACTTGTCTTGGTCAGTTATCCAAGTGTTCTGAATAGTACACTGGGAATAAATAAGCATTTATAGTTGGCTAATTATTGTTTAATATAAACAATAGCTGATTGACTAATTAGCGTTCGTTAGGATAATAGCATGAAAAAATATCCATAACATTAACTGTCAATTGAGAAACTACAACAAACAATGTTGATGATGAAGTGAAGGGTTAAGAAAATTTATCTTTATTTATAGATAAGATCAAATGATGTTAGGAAAATAATCACTGATGAATGAACGTATACTAAATCAATCATATAGTTTGAGTTTAATGATTTTTCATATATGCACAGTTACACTTTCCCTTTTATAAGATCCAACAAACTGAAATTTTAAGTCACACACAGATCATGATGTCATTCAATTATTTGAGTCCTCATATATTCTGATTACCATTTGTTAATGTTTTAATGTCGAGACATGGTTTAGGTTGAACGACCGCTGACAGCCCGTTGTCTCGATATAGTACAGAGCATGTCAGTAGCGCACACCCACCTCTTCACCAAGGTTCGAAACCGGAAGATTCAGGTCCCGCTACGAAAGTTTAGGCACCTAATGAATTACATTTGTAAAATCATTAGATGAATGAAGAACGTTTGTAGGTTAATTTTATGGAAATTCTTTTCAATTGTAAAGAAAGTAATATTGGGTTTACTGATTTTACTTGAAAGGTTACAAATACAGTGGCCCAAAGTGATATTAAAACATTTGACTTTTAACATATAGATCACGAATTGTACTTGCACTCTATTTACTTAGATTTAAGTGGTGGAATAGTATTCGTTAACCTCTTTATAATTAAATTGTGGAACAAATTCGAGTGCATACAGAAAAGTCATGATCAATGAGATGCTAAACTTTGAAATTAAAATGAATAGCACCAGTTAACACTAAGAGAGACGAAAAAAAATGTGAAGAAAGTAGTTTAAATTACAGACTTTAGTCTTCAGTTTTTGCTTGTTCATAAAAACGTATTACAAGTCGTAGTGCCAGATTTCGTGTACAGTTAAGGTTTTATATCTTGGTACATTTTATCACTAGATCACTATACTCATTAAAATCTAAAAAGTTAAGTATTAATATTAAATCTTATTAGACTGAAAAGCGTTTAACCTTAAGCTTTGGTACATCAGTCTGAACTTTGTAACTGAATTATGTTGGAAAACGTTTCATACTACTCTATCCTAAAAACAACAATTTATCAACTTAGTATTCCTAATAAGGCCATCGATACTGACGAGTATCATACTAGAACGAGACAGTATTTTAACGCTTCCCGATTTTTTAATAGTTGTCTAACCGAGGTCAATCCGTGATGAAAACCAAGAATTCTTGATGCTAGAATATTAAAATCTTAAAAGTTTGAAAGAACTCTACTCTCTATATTAACTAAAAATAAACAAACCGTAATTATTAAAATATTTTAAAAGAACCTTTCCAAAAAAAGATCCGAATTGACTTTAAGTCACATATCACGTTGTTACTTATCAACTATTATGATACAATTGTGAAGTGCAAAGTTCAAATCAGTGTTTTACTAACCTACTGACTGATTTACTATTTCGAGTATAGAATTATTATCGTAAAAATAAACAACTTACCAGCCATTGGCGGACCGACAGCGGCTGCAAAGCCTTGAAATAAAAGTAAGTAGCCAAATGCATTAGTCAAACGATCAATACCGATCAATTCCACGACTAGAATACTTTTCAACGATACGAATACAGCTGGAAGTTTTTTGTTTGTTTTTTTAAGAAAGGAAATGAAGAAAGGAAATTAGTATACCGTATTTAATTGAGGTAATTTTATGGCAAAAACATTGATGACTGATTTATTGAAAACTATGGTAGGCAAAGCATGATAATAAATACAGATCATATAGTAATGATTGAATAAAATGGTTTAGTTTGTCGTTGAGACGTTAATATAAATATTCTTATATGCTATCGTTGTCGTATTGATTCATGGTAATTTGATTTCAGAAACACTTCAAATAAATTTTATTTATAATGAGCAAATAGTGAGAGAACAAATCAAGAACCTTGGAATTTCCATTCAAATTACACGACTCGAGGTCAAAGCAAGGGTGTTCTAGGCTTAATACTATTAAAATGCTCACTTCATTTGTGGCAATGCACTTATCACACTTTCGTCTTTGGAGTTTAAAATATCCAAGAGAGCCCTCAGAAGTAAAGCTCTTTAACTCTCTTAATGATTCACGTATCATTATTTTCATACGCAAAGTACACAACCTTCATAAACTCTTAAGGGAATGATAAATATGTGCACACTAAATGCTAGCTTTCAGAGGTAAGTCTCAAAGTCCTAGTGACCAACGGAATCCAATTATGAAAGATGTAAGACAGTTACATTGTCGCATAATATCAAGAATTGACACAAGTTAAGAATTCATCAACGGATGGCGGTTCAGTTTACCTAAAGTTGTAACCTTCGCCGAGCAACCTAAACGTCATAGATTCTATTTCTGATAGGGTTGTGAAAGTGTACTATCATGAAGTCCCAAACCAGTTGTCCAATGGTTCCTAATCTTCAATAATCATTAAGTTAAGATTAATCAGTTATGTAAACTATGAATATTTTCATGCACTTTATCAACTAAATAAAAACAGATAAAAGTCAGATTGATAGATGATCGCTCGTTTGTTTAGTTACTGACATAACTAAGCAACATCAGTAGATCAGTTAGAATAAATACAATGAACACACACAAAAGTTCCACAATCTGAAATATTTTGTACATTAAAATATTCACTTTTTTGGTCAGTTAATTGCTATTAGAATAAGCATTTTCATGTATGAAAGTACAAATTAAGAGTCAGTTTATTATTCTTAATAATAAGCAAAAGAACTTTTGACAATTTATGCATAACAAAACACATTAAACTAACATTGTTAACACTACAGAGTTAGTACTTAAAAGTATATTTCATTAATAAATAGTGCACATTAGTAACATAATTAAACATATTACTGTAACATTTTGTATATGCTATCCAATTTTGTATCTACATTGATACACCGACGTTGACAGTGAATTAACTTCTCTGATTGTTCAAACTATTTAGATTACCAAAATGAAGCATACAGCAATATCCACAAAAGTAAGGATATTTAATAAGTACATCATTAACCATACCACAACTGACATCATCATTATCAATATCAACGTACCTGAGAAAAGTCCAAAGCCACACGAGATTAAAACTAAAGCTGCATAATATCGTCTTACAATCGGGAGTATAAACACAGTTACACTAGTTAACAATAAAGAGATATTATTCATCCACAATGAATCAGCCCATTTATAGGTTGTAGACCAAGCTATAAAAATTAAGAAAACAAATTATTTACCACATGCAAATTGCATTTAAAAAATGGTAGGGTTAGAAGTAGGATACTATGCAAAATAAAGTCGGATTAACAGATAAGTCTGTAAAAGTGGTTAGAAAAGTTTTTCAAACACATATAACCGTTATCTACTTCAACATGTAATGTTGTTATTTTTAATGGGATTAGGTCGGGAAGAAAGATAACAAGTGTATCCACACACGACATCAATCCATCAAGTAACTGACTGTTGATTTGAAACGTATCAGAAGGTACGGACTTATAGGTTAGCATCCTTGAGATAGTTATGATCAATGGTTGGAGATGTTGAGTGACACACAGCAATTTCATAAGTGTGAAATAAGATTTATCATATATCTTCGTCTATATCTTCAGATGTCGTTTCATACATATCTTTCAATCGTTGACCTCTTGAAGCTTTTTCAAGTTATACCACTCATTATGCGATATTTTTTATCGCATTATTTTAACTTCACCTCTTGCTATGATAATAACAAATGTAACATTGTGGGATGATTCGAAATTCATGCTAGAATGACTCGAACTGAATGATTATTGAAAGAAACTCACGAAGACGATGAGTAGCAGTTGCTGCGGTAAGGGCCGCATTCCTGTAGTTTGAGAACATATGGAACTCAAAACAACTGTCTGTCAACCAACATCAAAGTCACAATCTTCAGTACGAACGTCAACACAGTTCTACTGTACGCAGCTAAAACTTGCAGAACCACCACAACCATCATCAAGAGAGTACAAGTATTTACAAACAATTGCGTATGCAAGATACTCAGTGTCCGTTGACTGGATACCATCAGCAACAGCCTACTGTGAGAAAGAACAAACCAGCTTCCAGTTAAAGAGGAAATTAGAAATAGACGCGGGTAGTGGATAGGACATACATTTCGAAAATCATCAAACTGCATCACAAAGCGAGTGCTTGCTTGGAGTGCTGAAGGGAAACGAAAAAGAGGAAGGTCGAAGAATACACTGCATCTGGAATTGGAGGCAGACATGAAAAGAATGAATATCAACTGAGAAGGGTTGAGTAGGACAGAGTTTGATGGAGAATGCTGGTGGGATTCTTATGCTACTCCACGAGAGGTAACAGTAAGGTAACAAGTAAGTGAAACCTAAATCCCGAATAGAATTAGTTTGTTATCCAGTTGTTGATGTGAAATCACAAATGAAGCGGAGGTATGAGAAAATAGATTTCCAATTACTTAATGAATGGGTATTGGGATTATACGACTATTTTATCATTTTTCCCGAAGTCTTACATACTTTATCAATAGATCGTAGTGCAGTTTTCATTTGTACACAAAACATAACACGGAAGTGTACTGTTTTCAAAATGGTAAAGTAAAAAAAATATGGATGAACTGATAGGTGTTTATTGGATTCTGTTCCGGTAACAACAAGATAACCTGTTTTCCATGCTGTTTACGGCTTGTTATTAATTTTATCGGTATGATAAAAAGTGGTCTGTTGATAAATTCCTAATTCACAAATCTCTGGTTATTTACATTTTGCATAAACACTGTTTTTGTAATAAACAGAATGAAAAAGATTGGAACATTTGCTCGACGTCATCGTTCACATGATTTTATATGAAGGCTTGGGATATTCTAATATATTGATTATAACAAAAATATAGCAATTGAACACTTAACAATAATCAATGCTAAATCATGTGCACACAATCAAAATGGGACAAGTTGAGTTATTCTATTTTCAAAACCGACCTTTTCCTAACCCTCTCCTTCCGTTATGGGTTGGTATACCTACAGATAATGACTGTCTAAGGGAAACAGCTTACTGTCGTTCTCACTCAATGAAACGACAGTAAAAATTCATTAATGGGATGAAGTCAGATGTAGATTTAAAAATCTTAGCAAAACTTTATGTTATCTATTTGCATTTAGAAATTATATTTCAATTTGAAACTAAGCAGGAATATACTTTACAAAATGATTAGTATAATTTATGATAAATTGTGAGGATAAAATTTGATTCACTTCTAAGTAACATTAATCAATTGAACAATGATTGAGCGGATATAATATAGAGGCAACAACAACCAGTGGAAAAAAGAAACAGGTTGTCAACAAATAACTGTCAAAAGGACATCTCAATTTCAATATTTAGGGCATTATCTAGTCAATTATTGTGGTGTGTACTACTTGTATGGAAAGAAATAAGTAACATGTATGATGAATAGGAAGTAGAATTGTAATGGACAGAGGAGGAAAATGGGGAAAGAAATGAAAACAGAAGCATTCGGAGTGACAACAGGAATGGGAGTCTAAGGTTATTAGAAGTGTCTAGGAAATTGATTCGAGAATTCAGTTAGAAGACGCATTAATTTAAATATATTTATTGAATAATTGTTAAATAACTGTATTATTGTATTTTCATATTCTCTATATCGCGGACTACCGTCAAACAACAACAACAACAACAACTGTGGTCAAATAGCTATTGCTAATTAATTAGTCACTCCATCTTCCTTTCTATGCTCCTCATGATTTCGTTGTGTATAAACTGTGATTTCCAATTTGTGGTGTGTCCCGTCTCATAATCTATGTGTTGTAAATCTTCATCGACTGAGATGATTGGGCCAGGTGTTACGTATTCCTCACCACCGATTACCACGACGCGCAATGTTGACTAGTGTTAAGAATAGTTGGAAGAAAGTTAGGGGCGGCCAAACCAAAGCGTGGTATCAGTGCTTGAAGTCACTAACTTCTAGTCTGTGCCATGTTGGTAGATGCAGACTACTTGGCAAGGGTCCGTGTGACTATGGGTGACATGGCTCAGAATCAATCACATTGGTGTAGGTGTATACACTCTTTGTCTTCCTTTAAACTATAAGATTAAGATCGCTTCATATCTTTGTCTCTACGAACTAATTCTGTCTTCCCGTACTATGTCCTTAAATAAAATCTTTTGTATATTACCACCACTGAATTATCTACTTCTATGAATTTGGTGCTGTTCATCTTATTGTGCTAATGAGATATGGCAACTTGTACCTATGTACATATGTGCCTGGTCCTACGTTGTAACTGACTGACTGACTTAGTCAATGATTTTTTTGTGAAGAATTTCATTTGAGAAGCGGTATAGCTACTAGTAAGTGCATATAATTTTTTTTGGATTTCATAATTATTTCACTTAACTTAAGAGGTAATCAATGTTACGAAATTTGTCACGTAGTAACCAATCAGATGTTAAGCTATTCAAACATTACTAGTTGAAATACACCGGATTCAGTAAAGCTACTTATGGGTAGAGTGAACAAATAGTTAACAAAATAATCTTGTTCAGTTCATTGGTTTATGGAAATTTATTTATTATGGATGGAACTATTTCGGACCCACCAGAGAGAATCAGTTCTCTAAAGACTACAGGTGCACATTGTTGATGGGTGTGAAGTACCACGAAACTGAGGTTCAGGGTTTGATATGGACTACCTAAAGTCACGCCACACGAAACGTATATCAACCGCTTCAGTCGATGTAGTTTCGTTATATAATCAACCGGTATTCCATGTTTAATTAATAATCTCAGTCTATTTCATAAACTGTTTACTCAACGGGTTCAACACATGCGAGCAACGCTTTCTCGGCGTTTGTGTTTGAAGTCTACCATTAACTTATGAATACCCTTTAATTTCGTGACAGATGTATCACTACCACAAGGTAGAACAGAGCAAATTTCTGTGAAGTACACTCATTATTTATTCGGCAAACTGACAAACTTACCTACGCAAAAGTTGTGTGTGCTTCTGGATCCGTGGTAAGATACCCAATAATCTTCAAATACTTATGTTAACCAAACGACGCGTAATGTAGCTAACTACTTTATCTATTTATTGAGTAGTATATATTTCAAATATAAAACAGCCTTGATATTGCGGTGCATTTTTAAGGGCATACTGTACGCAAAATACTCACACACGAGAATATGAAGATTAGAAAATTTTAACACAGAGAAAAATCATATAAAACGACAATATGGAAGAATAGAGACGTTGTCATCTCGATTTTTCAATTTTCTAAACAAAAGGATACACAAACGACGAAGTTTGTATTGTTACTATTTGTCATAAAGTACAAGTGAGAGCGGTAAAAGTCTCTGTTGAAACAACAAGCAGGAATGTTTCTTTTTACGTTCGAAAACAAATCACTCTTACAACAACTTACTGTCAGTTGAAATGAAGTAGAACGTATCAGATATTTTAATAAAATTGTAAATTACGGTTAAGTGCAAAAAAACGTTATCGAGAAACGAAAATGTGCATTGAATGTAAGAATTCATTTATTCTTATTATCATATGTAATATAATGTTAGTAAAATTGTTTAACAGTCAATTCAAGTCAGTAAACAAGAAATATATCACAGTAGAATCCAACTAAAGAGAGGTATCTGACTATTGGTATATAACACCTGACGCCTATTGTTTTCCACTAGACACATATGATAGTTATTTCATAGACTAAAATAAAAAATAGTTCACTTCAATACATTTTCTTTTTGAGGCTTCAGTTAATCAATAATAAATTCACCACATTTTAGTTATTAATATATGACTTCATTTCAGATATATTTAACAGTGAAACTGTAAGATAAGAGGTATGTAAGATTATTATTTCACTTTGAAACAACATTACATAATAACTTAACTGATCAACAACAAATATACACAATCATCAATAAGTTGTAGATATCATACATAAGTTTGTAAAATATCACCACACTACAAATGACCTAAATTTTCTTTCATTCGATAAGGATTATTGGACATTTTTAATACAGGATCTAAAAGTCAGTATGATCGTGAAATGTTTTTTTTATTCTGATTTTAATCTACGGTCATTATTAATAATAGTGTCTGCTCTGGAAATATTCATAAATTCAGGATCTACGACAACTCATATACGTAAAAAAATCATTTTCATAATTGGAGGTAACATTGTACAGTGTTTTCCCCAATTAATTTTTGCTTATGGCTCCTAGTGCTAAAACACATAGAACCCGATTTATAATGGAAAAGAATAATCAAACACATAGTCAGGGATCAATTAACACAAACACAGCCAATCAGAATGCAAATATATAAAGATAAACTGACAGTGATTGTGAAGCAATTCTAACGCCTTCACTTCTTAAATTAATTAATTCAGTGTTTAGATATTCAAACCAATCAATGAAAGGTATGTGTTTAAATATCTAAGCTTTAGATATACGTGTTTTTTTTATGGAGAATAATAAACTATTGAATAAAACAAATACTTTGAGTAAGACATTGTTTGATTGGCAATTCTGATTTCAGGTAATTCATGTTACACGGAGATCATCAAACAATATCCTCGATGGAATTCAATTCACTTCAATTATCTTTAAACTGCAACCGGAGCCACAACAATTCACAAAAGAACTTGAGGAAAGCTCTCTCTCTCTCTCTCTCAATGTCAACCAACAGTGTGAAACATGTAGAAACTAGCAATTGGTAAACTTGAAAATAATAACTGACTAAAGAATGGGATGATTAAAACACAAATAAACACACACACAAAGAATATTCTATTCATGAAAAAGGATATAAAAAACTAGATCTATTTGATTTTTTGATACATTTTCCTACCATGTGCAAAAATCTGTTATTTTAATATAATTTGCTTACCTTTTTCAATGTAGAAGGCTACGTATAAAAGTGGAACAGAAAAGAAAAATAAAGGAAAAAATGAAAAAGAGGAAACAGTCGATAAGTTCGGCAAACCATTCAACATATAAATAGTATTGATAATAAGAACAAAAAAACATCACATGGATGTTTCAGTTGTGGGAGCATTGGGTTAAGCATTTGAAACATTCAACTAGCAGCCATTAGGTCTGATATTCCTGGTACTAGAATTATTGATAAGATATTTCTAACCGTTTACGAAATCTCAAGAATTCCACTAATTTGAACCCCAAACGGAAGCTCTACTTCCGAGGTTAGCTTATGTACAGAAAGCAAGACTATTCATGGGTTTATTTATGGTTTCCATATTCTGAAAAGCGTCTGGAAATAACAAACTGGAGAAAAAAAGTAACTATCGCGTTAGCCACACATTATCCGTTGTTTATCCCAACGATTCCATTGCGCATGGATTGGACGAAGTGCACTCCCGACCGTAGCTGCTACCTTGCCGCGCTGGTTGGGCTTGCCTATCGTGATTTTCCAACCGAGCTATACTGGCAGGAACATATGTTCCTGTAGGTTCTACCATGCCAGGCAGGTCGATTGGAGAACGGTAAGACTAAAAACAGCAACTGAAGGTCTGAGGGCGAAGTCGTACTACTGACTGTAGAGGTTTGTGACAGCAGTAAGGTGTTTCCCTCGGACAACCAGCATCTACAGCGATGCTGCCTTCTTACAAGGAAGGAAGGGGTTAGAAAAGGTCAATTCTAAAAATGCCACACCTCACCTTACCTCACGGATTTCCGTCTCCGGCGGTAAGGACCTTTGAAGAACGGAGCTAACAGGTCAAAAACCTCTCACAAATAGGCAGTGCGCGACCGGCCTCAAGCAGTTGTCTCTTGGGCTTTGCAGTCACGCTCCCGGGCCATTAAGGCCGACATTAATTCGAATTCTTTTTCAGATTTCTCAAGAAATACCCTTCCACGGTGTGGGCGACCGGGAAGTGACATCAGCCCTCATACCCGTAACAGCACAAGAGACCAAGTTGGTCACATTCAAATCCTTCCTACACCTCCTAATACCTCTCTTATCTCCATGACTAACCCTCCTCACGTCTCTTTATCACCTCGCACCTCTAGGGCAAACGATTCGAGTACGCGGAACGTTATTCCTGGTCTCCTGAAACCACGCTCTAAACTACATGTAGGAGTTTTTAACGTCCGAACACTGTGCCAAATAGGACAACAATCTTCCTTAGCTAGGACTTTAGAATCTCGCGCCATCGATGTGTGCTGCGTCTCCGAGACGCGCATACAAGATCCAAGTAGCGTCATTCATCTAACCTCACCATGCCAAAATAAAGAACCGAATCGATTCACACTTCGTGTATCTGGAAGCCTAGATTCTGCTTATCGTGGCCTCGCCAGCGTAGGTATAGCACTGAGTCCTAGGGCAGAACTAGCTCTCTTAGACCGGATCTCAGTAAACAGTCGTTTGTGCGCTGTCCGACTAAACGGAACAGTAAGAATCCGGAAAGATAGGGACACTCGTCGTTGCCTCTTCGTTGTCTCTGCCTATTCTCCCACTGACTGCAGCTCAGATGATGTAAAAGATGAGTTTTACAGAAAGCTCTCCGAGCTTCTCCGAAAAGCTAGGCGCTCGGATGTGGTAATAATGGACGGTGACTTTAATGCTCAAGTAGGTAAACTAAGCGATAGGGAAAGACACCTGGGTGGATCTTATAGCATCGTGGCTCAAAGAACAGATAATGGCGACCGTCTGTTGCAGCTATGCTCAGATAACCACCTGTTCCTTGCAAATACTAACTTTAAGTATAAGGAAAAACATCTTTTGATATGGCGACCCCCTAATTCGTCCCAACGTTGGACCTGAATAGATCACATCGCTATCAGTCACCGATGGAGCGGCTCGATAGAAGACTGTCGCTCATTCTGGAGCACATGCCTAGATTCAGATCATGCTCTAGTGCGAGAGCGTATTTGTCTGCGTCTTACTAGACGTAAGAAAGACGCTGCAAGGAAACCTCTTAGGGTCCTGCTTAATGATAGTCAAACTAAGAGTATATTTCAGGATCAACTAGGAAAACAGTTAGGCAGCCATATAGGTGATGCCCACCCCGAGGCAGCATGGAATGATATCCGAAAAGCTGTGGAAACAGCAGTGATATCTGCGAGTACGGTAAACCACAAGGTTAGGGAGCAACACTGGATCTCAGCAGCATCTACCGCACTAATAGATGCTCGAAAACTCATTTCATCTGGATCTGAATATAATGAAGAGCGGAGTCAGCTTAAGCGCAGGCTGACAAGAAGCCTACGCAATGATCGTGAACAGTGGTGGGTAGCGAAAGCAAGAGAGATGGAAAAGGCAGAGGCAATAGGTAATAGCAGACGATTGTTCAGACTTGTTAAGGAAACCGGTATTAGGAACCCGACTGTTAGCGAAACAATCTCAGAGAAAGATGGAAATATTATACATTCTCAATCCTGGAGATCGGATCGATGGGCAGATCACTTTAGAAATCAGTTCAACTGGCCCTCAGCCACATTTCGGTTTCCCACGATCTTCAGTCAACCTGAATGGCAAGTTAATGTAGGTCCTCCGACTCTTTATGAAGTTGAAAAAGCTATAGGAAATCTGAAGCGAGGGAGAGCAGCAGTCCCTGACAGGTTCACTCCTGAGATTTTTAAGGATGGTGGTCCAGTATTAGCAGTGAGATTAACTGAGGTCTTAGGTAGAATTTGGGAACTGGACGCAATCCCATCTGACTGGTCTCAATCACTGATTGTGCCAGTCTATAAGAAAGGACAAAAGTCCTCTTGTGACAATCATAGAGGAATCAGTTTGACAAATATAGTATCTAAAATATTAGCTTCAATAATACCTCGACGCCTAATCAAAACTCGTGAAGAGCAGATTAGAGAAAACCAGGCCGGTTTTCGACCTGGACGTGGTTGTATAGATCAGATATTCACACTACGTCAGGTTCTAGAACACAGACACACAATCAGACGCCCCACAATGGTAGTATTTCTCGACCTTAAGGCGGCATTCGACTCTGTTGATCGTGAGGTTCTATGGCAGTGTTTGTCACTGAAAGGAGTACCAAAGAAGTACATTAACCTTATAAAGGCTCTCTACTCGAACACAACTGGTAGAGTGAGAGCTTATGGCGAACTGTCATCGGAATTGATTACCTCAAGTAGTGTTCGTCAGGGCTGTCCACTCTCTCCATTCTTGTTTAGCCTTGTCATTGACGTACTTTTAGAGATGACACTTTCCTCATATAAATTTCCAGGGGTTGAACTCCTACCAGGAGATTCACTTGTTGACCTGGAATATGCCGATGACATAGTTCTATTTGGTGAAGACGCTGACAAAATGCAGAGTCTTCTGACCACTCTAAGCAACAATGCAAGCATGTTCGGGATGCGATCCTTCCCCTCGAAATGCAAAATGTTGCTTCAGGATTGGGTTACATCGACACCCGAACTAGTGATAGGGAGTGAAGTAGTTGAGCGTGTCGACAGCTTCACTTATCTTGGAAGTCTCATCAGCCCTTGTGGTCTGGTGTGTGACGAAACCTCAGCGCGGATACAGAAAGCTCGACTAGCTTTTGCCAACTCGATGATTTCTTGTATCTCTTAAATCTGGAGTTCCAAATTTTGTCATATATTTTGTACCAACTTGCGTCATTTATGGCGTAGGCGAGATATCCGTCTATCAACCAAAGGACGTATTTACTGCGCAGCAGTTCGTTCTGTCCTACTTTATGGCAGTGAAACGTGGCCGGTAAGAGTAGATGATATTCGTAGGTTACTAGTATTCGATCATAGGTGTCTTCGAAACATTGCTCGTATATCCTGGGACCATCGAGTAAGTACTGCAGTTGTTAGGAAACAGGTACTAGGTAAGGATGGCAAATCAATTGATGACGTAGTGAAACTTCATCAGTTGAGATGGCTGGGACACTTGTTCCGTATGCCCAACGACCGGACTGCCTCGATGTGCGATGTTCAGTGGTATGGGAGTAGGTTGGAAGAAAGCTAGACCAAAACATGGCACAAGTCCATGAAGTCACTGACAAGTGGTCTGAGTCATATTGGTAGGTTTAGACTACCTGGTTGGGGACCGCGAGATGATAGCAACCGATGGTTAGAGACCCTGAATGATATGGCTCAAAATCGTTTGCAATGGCGCAGGTGCATACACTCTTTGTTTTCTACCAAATTTTAATCTCCTGATACCTCCTTGTCTCTTTTTTCTCTTCCCAAATTTATTTCACTGGGTTATACTCTTTAATTAGCATCTCCAAACCCTAATCTTCCCGATTACTGCTTAAACTCTTACTACCTCTAACACTACGGGATTTGAATCGACAACTGCATCTCTGTGCTAATGTGGTATGGCAACTCGAACTGATGTACGTACGCGCGAAGTTCTACGTTGTTACTGACTGATTGACATTCCGATTTTTTCTAGCTTTAGAAAGTTAGTTCGAGGAAATTTTCAGAGCTACTAATAAGAGTCAGCGAGTTCGAATCCTGACCCGAATTACTTCAATTAAAAGCTTGATAAGTGTTAAATAAAGTGATATCCAAACACAAACAATGTAGCATCAAAATGAACAGATACATCAATATTTAGTCGATATATATATATCACAGAACATTGTAGAATAATAAATGATAAACATGTACGTTAAATGTCGACTCTGACTGATTCGAATAAAACAACTGTGACATTAGAAATAATTTTTCGAAAATACAGTCGAACAAAATACTCAGTATGAACCGAAACAGCTTGTACTTAGTTAATCATTCTTCATCACCATAATGTTAATGCATATCCAACTAACTGAAGTATAATATTCACAATAACTCATTCTCTGGAGTTGAAGTTATCACTTTGATATGAAGACTACTACACTTGACCTTAAGGAATATAAACGATTAAATGACTAACTGTTGATCGATTCCTGGCACAAATATACCATACATTGATGGTTGCGACTGCTATACAACCCAAAAACCTACACATTTTCACCTTTTAAATGCTTACGCTAAAAATTTTATCTGTTGAAAATTAGACAGTATATCTTATCCAAACTGTAACTGAGTCAGTTAATTAGTTTTGTGGTTATATTGAAAAACAGATAGGTGGAATTTATTGACTTTCTTATCTGCAGATGTGATGGTGAAAAACGTAACAAGAAATCGGATTGATAATAAATAATAATAATAATAAACGTTCAGTACATAGAATAGTTGAATTGAAAGAAAAATATTTACTGGCAAATAAACGTCCAAATGTATTTCCTGCACCAATTGACGAAATGATAAAACCAGAATCTTCAAGTTTCCAATTCACTTCCGCTAATAGATCAGGTAACATTAAAAAAGGGACAACCAATCCTGAATGGAGAAAAAACCAAAAAAACCAAAAAACGAGTTCAAGTAACAACAAATAAATATTTCGATTATAAATATGATCTTTGGTTAGTTCCAGCTAATTTCTCTATGCATAAATAATAAAGCAAATGAGCAGAAAAGGAGTAGGAGGAGGGCTATAATGTCCAAAACTTTGAATATTACAATCGCTACAAATCGTGCATACTTACATACTACCGGTCAGCTGTATAGGTGGTGGTAGGTAACCATGGTTACGTGAACAGTAAACTTTTTCACAATAACCTGATCACACTTGGCATCTCATGTATCCTGAAACATGGTGTAATCTGTCTAGTTTGCTAAGAATATTAATCAAATATTAGGCGATGTACAATCACAAACGTATGTGTAACTATTCGACTGTAAGTAAGCTTGCATATTATTCTCTGAAATTATTTCAATGGAAGGATTAAAAAACCAAAAAGAACAAAAACCCTTTACAAAAAAAGAAAATGCAAAATAAATACGAAAATTAATTTTCATATAGAGGAGTACATTGAACTTAGGATAATTCATCCTGAAGAGAGTAAGGAATGTTATATAGGTCAACTTAATGATTACTTAGAGAATATGAACGACGACTTTTGAATGTAAAATAATCCAGTATTTTTTATAAGTAAATAAAAATAAAGTTGAGAGATCTAACATAAACCTTTTGATTATTTGTTCACTAGTGACCAGATGATGATTTCTCGGATCGCAAGTAGGAGGTACTCAAATAAACCAAGAAAAGGGTAAGCAGCAGCACCTGATAATATTACCAGCCGAAGCACTCAAGTCATATATACAAGCAACTGCAAACATGATCCACATTCTATTCGGGAAGATTTGGGAGTAGGAACAAGTCCCAATAGACCGGAAACAAAGATACCTCGTCAAGATACCAAAGAAAGGAAACCTGAGCAAATGTGTAAACTACGGAGGCATCACACTACTATCAGTACAAGGAAGACTTTACAACAGAGTGTTGCTGAACCGGATGAAAGATTCAGTAGACGCTCGTCTTCGAGATAAACAGGCTGGATTCCGTAAGGATCGGTCACGCACAGACTGAATAGCGACACTATAGATTGTTGTTAAGCAATCAATTGAATGGAACTCATAGCTATACAGCACATTCCTTGTCCATGAGGTGTTTGACAGCGTGAATAAGAGAAGCTTATGAAATCTTCTTTGATATTATGGTGTGCCTGATAAAATTGTCAATATGATCTGGAATTCATTTTACAGATTTTCTATGGATTTTTGAAATTGTTTCAACGAAATTTGAGTCCTCAAGACGTTGAAGATCTGATCTGTATCGAAGTTACAACAATAAAAATGCAGTTCTAACTCGTTTCAATTGTTATTTATTTATTTGAAACGATCACATGTGTTTCAATGGCAAGACTTTTAAGAAGTATTGCTAGTGATCAATCTAATAACAAAAACGTGAATTTGAAATAACATAGCAGTGTTGTGCAACGACCGAATATGTAAACAGTGATTCTTAAGAAACTAACAACTTCGAATAAATAACTTAAAATTCTCTATAGAACTGTAGCTCACTGTATCTGATTTGTTGTAAACTTTAGGCCTTCAATTACAATGTAACTCTATTCCAATCTTGACTTCAATTAGTAAGAAGGTTGGGAATTAGGTCTCTCTTTAGCTAGTAGTATACATCATTAGAGGTGTATTAAGTATATCCATAAGAGAAGTTATGCTCAAACCTTTTCATTGAATGATCCCGTACACTTACTTGCCTAGATAATATGAAACCAAAAATACTATTACGATAAACAAAACACAATAAATATAAGAGTCAGCCTACTTTACTAAAGCCTTGAAAATGACAAACTACTAGTTGCTTACAAAAATAGGAAATTATTCAATGACACTTAAAGATAATATAATTAATTCATAATTATATTGAAATTAAAAAACAAATTCTATGTGAATCATGAAAACTCTGCTGACTGAAAAGGAAATTAACAATTATATTTATAAAAATTAACTGTGTCAACTAAGGACATAGCTGGAATTGGACATTTGAACCGATCAATGTGAATATTACTTCTATGGGTATAAAAGACTTATATAAAAAAAACATGGTTAAGGAATAATAAGCCAATAACAAGTTAACATTTGACCATTGGATCGACCATTTAAAAATAAATAGTAAACTAAATATATCGGTGGAACAATTACAGTGAAGCAAACATTATTTTTATTTGCACCGAACTCCTTAATGAAAGTAAATACTATATTGGATTGCTAGAATTGAATCAATCATAACAATGGAAAATGATCAACTATTCTAAATTATCCACTCTCAGATCAGTCAAACTGGAGAAAATCACTACATTCCAATTTATATTGACAACTGGCTTAGCTCTTTCATGGAGCCAAAACACTACGTGGAACACCATCTTTTAGGAAATATATGCAAACATTCACACTGAGCTATAAAAGATTAATGTTATTGTAAGCAAAGATGGATGGCGGCTAGCAGTGGAATCAAAGACGCGCATTTCATTCAATTTGGGACTCGTCAGTTGGATGTACCTGTTTGTGACTTAAGGTAATATCGAGGCAATATGCACATATGCCAATAACACTGATGAATTACAGTGCTTAATATTAATGGGAAGATACAAACAAACAACACAAAATGAACTAATGTCATCGTCAGGTTCAATTTACTGGCAAACTAATTCAAGTGGCAAACGTGAACAGCACTGGATGGTAACGTGATCCTATATAGATAACATGTTCGATACAAAATCCAAGAGTGATGGTTTCTATTTGTATTTGGATTGTTAATGTTAACTATAGGGAAATCTCATGTACAGAAAGAGACTTTTCTGAATTATTGTAGAGTCCTCAAATGCCCTGGTACGGCCGAGGGTGAGGAGAGTCAGTTCTCCCTCTCGAGATGCTCTCATATACAGCCACTGCCAGGGAAGTCCTACTCAGTGCATTATTGAGGCAGAGGTGTTAATTACGAAATCGAGAGAATGGAAAGCGAATGTTCGACGCTTTAACCAGATCGGTGGATATGGAGGATCCATCTAGGGGAGTTGGAAAACCCTAATTGCAAACCAAAGGTATACTTGAGCTCCAGGATCCTGAGGGGACAAATGGCATATGAACCAATCTATGACTACTGGCTACCATGGGACTGTATATCCTGACGTCCCTCAACTGCCTTGCGGATCAGACCTGTAGGTCGAAGGCTCCGGGTGCGGCCCCCTAAGAAAACCACCTGCTTCGGTCTAAACGCCCCGGCATTATCACAGCCCACACACAAATCAAGAGACTTGTGTGGAGCATATGTATTCGGTGCACCTTCTTATTAATATTTATGTGTTCAAACAAATAAATATATCTAAACTCAAATAAAACTGATTAGTCCAATTTTATCACTTACCAAGCATAGCCATCATACTTGAGAAAAGAAAAAATAAGAATGTAATATTGGACAACAATTTCGGTGATAATAAATCTTGCATAAATATACCGATTGGACTATATGTCGAACAACAGAATAGTGCACTACCAAATAATCTGATACAATTATCAAAACATTTTGGACAACGTGTATAGACAGCTTCCTCGTCATCATTAATCAGAATTGTATCACGATTATCATCCTCTTCTTCAATATCAATATCGTCTAATCCTAATTCAACAACACCAACATCACCATCATCACCAATATCCACTCCGTAATCTATGAGTTCTTCTTGTAGTTGTTGACGTTGTAAACCAGCATTGGTTATTGTGCTTCCATCATAGTCAATTTTTTGACTAAGACCAAGTTGATTAGATACAGGAGCTGCAGAACTTTCTAAATTCTCTGTATTATTTACGTATCCTATAGAATCAATTCTATCTGAATTTATATTTGCTCCATGCTGATTTATATTGCTACCCTAATTGGAGTTTGTAAAACAGAGAAAATATAAACTGATATTAATGAATATGTATATGTGTTAATAGTTGATTAAATACTCCGAAAGCGAAACGTGTATATTTAGATCATTTCAGTTCTAACATTAAAAGTGTGCTCAACTTGAAGTGAACAATTTAAAATTATCAGTAACTTCGGCATAAAATGTAGTTATCCTCTAGGTCATTTCCGGTTGTCGTCAAGTGACCTCATTCGGTTACTTCTGATTGGCTCACTATACTTGTCACCATGTTCAGATTCATGCATTTGTTTCGACACACAATAACTTTAAGGAGTAGTGATACCAGTCGGTTGCACAAAATGATGTAAGCAGACCGGGGTTCAAATCTGCAATTTAGGGGGTGAAAAGCCGAACGCCTTAATCAATGGCTCCACAACATCATATTTGAGCATTTATACACTTACCAATGGAATAGAGAGTTGAGGTAGGCCACTCAAAGGAACATTATGTACAATAGATTGTTGATTGTTTAACGGCATAGATGGGCATGGAGCTGGTGGTATAAATTGATTAGTAAACAAATTACTTGAATTAGCAATACTTAAATTTGTCTGACTACAATGCTAAAAAGAAAAAGAAAAGAAGAAATTAAAAGTTATTGTTATCATAGTGATTATATGCTATGCAGAACGATCATATTTTTTTATGTATCTGGATAAAATAAAGTAAAACAACAGACTATGAACTACATTTAAGCGTTAGTTCAGTCGCTTATCAGTTAATACTCCACATATATACATCTTACGACGAGCATTATTCAGTTTTACGATATATACAGATAATAATGTTATGAATGTTTAATTATAGCTAGTAAAAATCTGACATCAATTGACAGTGTAATAATTCAGAAAGTATTAAACAGTTGTTTTATCTTAGTAAATCTTCGATTTCATTCATCACTAAAGTGACAGAATTAGGTCAATTTCTAAATGTCCTATGGGATAAAGTAATCAAATGAAACTCGTAAATACAAGCAAGAAATGAATTCAAGCCACTTGATAACAGTATTGAACGGTATAAACATGTTGGAGAGAGAACTAAAGAATTTTTTGTTTTCATTTATAAAATGGATAAAACTTTTGCTTGGTAATTCGAAAGTGATATCATTAAATATGAATTAGTTGATGAAGTAACACTTATTTGTTGTGGACATAAGAAATATTGCATTCCAAATTCCAATTCTAAACTATCACATATCATTAATTGACATTTACAATATGAATAAGGCTTTTAATGCTATTTTTTCTAGCTGTTTTGATTTCTGTCGGTTGTGTTCCATTTTCCCATATATTACCTTGTCCCTTTATCCAATAGACATAATATAATGGTAGTTTTGATAACGTTATCTGAAGTTAAAGCATTTACCGTAACGGTGTGGTAGTATCATTATTATTATTTTAAAAATACCATAAGTTTCTTTTTATTTGTTTGACCAATCAGCTATGCGTTGAATAGAATAGAATAGTAGAAATACCTTATCTACAAGGTGTATACTTTTTCTGAATAATAGAAAAATAATTAAACAACAAAATATCTACCAATTCGTTTGGATCAATGTGTACTACGTTTAAAGGGGTTAGCGATATTGCATCCCATTTAAAGACCTAAATAAGATGTGGGTGGCCTGTAAACAATAACTAATACCTTTGTGTAATGTTGGGGTTCGCATATCGAGCTTATTTGAATGGGTCCTGCAAAAAAATGGGTTAGAAAATGATAAAACTAAAAGGCAAAAGTGTACTATCAACTGCACTAGGATATGATGCTAGAAGAGTTTTTCCCCAAAACGAAAAACATTTACAACGATGATACTCACCCACAACAAAAGGTTCAAAAAGGCCCGACCCTGAAATTAGTACATCATATCTTGGCAATATATGATCGGTCTCAAGTAGCTATTCCCTAACCTATGTAGTCATATTTGCACTACCCGGTAGTGAAGATTTACCGTAAGGGATAGGAAATTAAATGACTTTTGACTACTAGACAACTACATCAAATTTTTTTTAAAATGATAATACAAAAATCTATAATTCAACGTGTGCATATTACCAATGAATAAATGATATGTGAATTCAATATTCATCAATAATACATGGATTATTTGTGTCAACTTTTTATCTTATTAAAACATGATTGTAGTTACCTTTTATTTTTTTATTTTAGAAAAATGTCGAAAGCATAGATTAAGTGAAACTATAACTGTCTGCATTCCAATATATACGAATAATAAATTATATATATATATATATATATATATATATATATATATATATATATATATATATATATATATATATATATTCACTGGTCACTGATTAGGAGCGCGTTTGACCACTCAATATAAGAGAAAGTGGGAAGGCGTTTGAGCGAATGTTTCGCTTTACTTCATATATTTGTCTTTCATGAGATAGATTAATTTAGCATTTAAATGTACTGAACATTCAGACCATAAAATTCACAGTCACAATCAATATATGACATGAAACGTATATATATATATATATATATATATATATATATATATATATATAAATGTTTCACAAAGTTTTATCTAACCAAACGATAACCTTTGACATGATATATAACTATGAATGTCTAAAATATGATCATATTGTTTTATGTTTCCATAATATTTGGATTATGTGATTACTTTTTTTTTCTATTCAGATGAGTAAATGAATATATATGACAATTGAAAGCCCATCGTCGAGTTATTCAATTTTTTGTTATTGACATTCCACAACAGGACAATACAAAATCATATCAATCCTAAACCCATTTCATGATGAATATGTAGTGTATTTCTAGAAATCATCGAGTTGGATAATCGTATTTATAGTGATGTAATGAATACTACGTATATTGATGTTTGATCCAATCACACATATAATGGCTGTTTTTAATAGGATGTTCAACCACTGTATGTTAGATAACACTATTTTACAATGGTTCCTAAATTAGACAGTGACAACCTGCTGTAGTGTGTTTATTCACACACACAGAGAGAGAGAGAGAGATTTTACAATCAGCTGACATTTGATAAGCAAACAATATAGCAAATGTAACATTCTTGCGAAATATCATACACTGACTGAAGTTTGACATCCACACCTTTGAAGAGAATAAGCATTAGCGCGCCAAACTGAGAGTCCTGGATCATAGTCCCTGTGATGCAGTCGTGAATGTACACTACCGAGAAGTCTCATACGAAGACGAAACAACTGTCCAATGCTTCCTGGTTTGCAGAAATGGATCAACTAAAATTGGTTCGTGATTTAAACTACAAAAATAGACATTGGTCTTAACAAAACAAACGATACACCATGACAGAGAATATAATTGATAAACGTTCTTATTAACTAATTTGTCAATTAACAAATAACTTTAATTGACTCATGAACTCAATTATTAAATAGTTTTTTGTTTGTACAAATATTTTGTCAATAAATAATGATTAGAAATTATGCACTTCAACATACAACAAATACAAAATGAATATATTTAGAAATTTCTGTGGTCATACATTAGTATCATATAGTCACTTATTACTACCTATATCACAAATCCAATGAAAAGATATTTAATAAAATATACGACATAAATAGATAAACACACCTCTGGTTGTTGTTTAACATCCGGATGTATAACCGTTGACGGTAAACGAAATGCTGTAGTTGATGAACGATTCGGTCGGTTATCTACAGCTGTCGCTGGTAATATCGGTAAATTAATACTAAATTTATGACTGATTGGTAATTGTTTTGATGATAACGCTGATGAGTCAACAACTTGACGAACTGGACCAATATAAAAGAAATCTTTTTTATATTGTGGTCTTGACATTTCTTTACGAATAATTAATTGAATATCAGCTTTCATTTCATCGTCTAATAAATCGGCGCCAGCAGTATTACCATTATTATTATGCGGATCTACAATACCGATTGATGTAAGATGAGAAGTTAAACTAGCCTCGGATGTAGTACGTTTTAAACTAACAGTCTAAAATGTAAAACAATATTATTCATAATAAATGAAAAGAAAGCAGACACTAACTGATAGAGCAAAGTAAGTGTAATATATAATATAAAATTTTAAGCACTGATGATTAATTTCCGCTAGATGTTTATTAATCCTCACGAAAGCACACATTAAAAAACGAAACAATTTATCACTAGTATGTGAAAAGTTCCTAAGGAAAAATGATTAGGATGACATTTATTACTGAATTTAAGACAAAAGAACTGGTCGGTAGACCGAAGAGTTAATATTACTTTATGATTTATTTCATTTTGCACAGAAAGTCTCTTATTCATAGAACGTATTTTTCGATTGAAATTCAACTGCCAGAATTGGGAGATTTCGAATTCAATTACGTATGAACTACTTACATTGAGTATTCCAGAGAAAATAGAACATCTGCTGCATGTTTTTAGGACTTTTAGCTATCCAATTGATGATATATCAAGCACTGAAGAAAATGAACTTTATGAAAGATGAAACATTATTACACTCTCTAATGAACATCCGAACTGGATCAATGAAGTTGTTTAAATATATGGATTACCATAGCCTTTCTCTGTCAGCAAAAACACTGAATATGTCAGGTCTTAAATTATTTTTGTCTCCTGATTCACTGACTAGGTGATTTTTGATTCAATGAGTTCACTAAAGTTATAAAGGTCTGTGCACGTTATTCGAAATAAAAATATTTGAGCGTGATAAAACAATGTGTGACATTTCTGCCAAAGTTGATGATATCATATCAAAATCAGTAAAGTACTGAAAAATCATTCTACGAGCCCGACACCGATCCAATTTACACTACATAACATGAAACAAGCCAGTCAAACAGCCTGAGTAATGAGGATATTCCACAAAAACGGGACAAGTTTATTGCTACAAGTGTGAAGTATTGTGAAGGAGGTTAAGATTGATAGATGTAAAATTTGGAAAAATAGATTTTAATGATCTCATTTGATGTTTTTTGGAGAAACAATAAAACATCTGGTTAAGCAAACAAGTAAAAAACAAACCTCAGAAACAGAACGAATCGGATGTGTCCTTGTTTGAGCAGGATCACGTCCTGTTGTTAATGGTAGTGCTGGGTTAGTAGTACCACTTAGAAAAGCCAGTGAATTTGATGTATTGACAGAAATCATTTGATTATTATCAGAAGGTATGGGCGCATTTCTAGATCCCGTGAGTCCACCACCATCTAAATACACTGGATTTTCTCCAGATGCCAATTGAACAGTGGCAGTATCATAATTGGGCATATTCACGGTACTCTGTATGCATACAAATACACAATATGACATCATTAAGATTTAAAATAACACCATTTTTATTTGCTTTTTTCATGCGGAATAAGACAAATTCTAAACAATTTTAACAGTATATATAAATTTGTGCTTTCACTTACTAACACTTACTAACGTTGGCGGGTATCTGCACACATTAGCTCAATGGATAAAGCATTGGCGTTTAAGGCTATGAAGTTCAGTTTTCAGTATGAACATCAACACCAAATACATGCAGGTGTATCCATCTGACGAGCCCGACATAGGACAAAACACGTGTATCAGATTTCAATTCTAGCCAAAGGATAAATATTACTAAAACTAGTGACAAAAGTTTATATCAAGACAATCCGATCGAGATATACATATGACAACAGAGACTGGTTAACTGCAGTGCCAAACATAAGCAATGAGGAAAGTTAAAACCCTTTGTAAAGTGTTTTATCATGAAAAGAAGAGAACAGTATGTTTGATTATCATTGAAAGAAATATATATGTACACCTTTCATGAATTCCAGAAATTGAAAATCACGTATACAAATAGAAAAGTGAGATGACAGTAAACGTACGAAAAAAAGTTTATCAAAATTAGCAAGTATGAGGATAACAGTTAATTTAATTATCTGTATTAAAAAAGAAACAGTAAACACATATCCAGCTTAGTCGATTATAAAAAACACTAAATGTGAACTCTATACCAGATTATTACTAATGGGATTGAGAACGTGATTCGGATGCTTTAGTTTTAAAGTAATATAAAAATAACACTTTCAAGTGAGATAAAGAATAAGTATACTCTGTATTAGAGTTGAAGATTTATCACATTCTACTGTCTGTTTGCTGATATGTATAGATTTTAATTAAATATTGATATTGAGCAGATAGAGATGTAGTTTGAAGGTAATTTTGAATAAGAATTAAATAATACATACATAATTAATATTAAGCTCCACCTGTAGCAGTTCTAGGGTTACTGTTGGTCCAAAAACCGGGCAATGAAGGAGGGTTGGACATTACTAAAACAAAGCTAACCAAAATAAACAATTTAAAACATTTGAACTCTACCAAAATAAGTTGAAAGATCTTCATTCAGAAGAACTAAGACACCTCGTGGTGAAAGCCAAGATTCTTCGAAGAAACGAGGCTGATAACCTTTCTAACAACCACAGCAACAATTAATATACGAACATGCAATGTCCGCACAATGTGGGATACCAAGAGGACTAATGAAATAGCTACGGAAATGAGCAGATACAACTTGACCGTGCTCCGAATAGGCGAAGTCCATTGTATCCAAGCTCGACGCTGTATTCCTAGCATGTTGAGGACGTTCGATCCGCAGAACTCACTTGGAAAAGGTCCTAATTTTGCAATTTTATTCTGAAAATCTGAATTTTATGTTTTCACGCCAAGAGACGCTTGGTTGACCTACAGCTTACAGTTCCCACTAAGAAATCCTTTACTGTCATTGGTTGACGGATTTTTTATTACGCAATTTTTTGGCTCTCTCAAGGGAGTTTCTATCATTGTATAAATAAGCTTGATTTGTGTGCTCAGTAACCTCGTATTTTCTGGGTGCTTGTAGAATACATTCTCTACGCCTCATCAAGACTTCTTGATCTAGTTAGTAGAGCCGGGTATAACAGATTAGAATAACCTTCGTTCCGTTTACCGAGTAAGGTGAACTCGTAATAGCATTCAAGCATATCAGACCACGAAGAAGAAAATGCGCCGCACACTCACGGAGTTGCTCTTATGCTGCCCAAACGAGCATGTATAGCATTTATAAGATGAGAATCTCATGGAAGCTGAATCATCAAAGCATCATGCAAAACAAAGAAGGAGGGAATCACAATAAATTTTATCCAGTGTTATGCACTCACCAATTATAGCAACGTGTCCGATAGACATAGGTTTTATGAGAGGCTGCAATCGATCGTAGCGAAGACCCCACATTAGGACCTAACAACTGAAACTGCAAACATGCTCCATATTCTATTCAGGGAGATTTGGGAGGAGGAACAAGTTCCGACAGACTGGAAACAGAGATACCTCAACATGATACGAAAAAAAGGAGACCTGAGCAAATGTGTAAACCACAGAAGCATCACACTACTGTCAGTACGAGGAAAACCTTTCAACAGAGTGTTGCTGAACCAAATGAAATATTCAGTAGACGCTCAGCTTCTAAATCAATACACTGGATTTCGCGAGGATCTGTCGAGCCCAGACCGAATAGCGACACCACGGATCGTTGTTGAACAATCAATTGAATGGAACTCATTGCTATACAGCACATTCCTTGTCTATGAGGTGTTTGACAGCATGAATAGAAGAACCATGTTAAACCTCCCTCGACATTATAGTGCACCTGAGGAAATCGTCAGTATCATCCGGGACTCATACGACGGACTACACTGCAATATGGTGAATGGAGGACAGCTGACAGATGCATTCCCAGTAGTTATATTTTGAAGGGAAAAAGAAGAGAGGAAGGCCGAAGAACACACGGCAATAAGAATTGGAAGAAGACATAAAAAGGACGAATAGCAACTGGAAACAACTGGAAAGGGTTGTCCAAGACACATGAGCCAACAGAGTAGATTTCAAGGGATTCAGTTAATGGTCCCAGTGACTGTTAGAGAGATTTATTACTATTACTTATATACTAAATGTCAAATCAAGTAAATATGACGTACTGAGAACAAGTAATAATTTAGAGATATAAACAACAGTTACAAAGAGATTTCAATAAAGATGAAGTACTGAGTTGAAGAATAATAGACTTCAACTCCACTAGGCGGACCTTGTGTATCCACCTTACGTCATCTAGTTTATGTAAATACACCGTCGTTACCACATGCAGACAGTGAGTAGGACTTCCATGGAAGATTCTATAAACCAGAGACCATACGAGCACTTCGAGAGGTAAAGGACCTTCCACCTTCCATCGTACTAAGGCATTTAGTACCTTCATATCTACCACATACTACTAGTTATCGTGGGGGCAGATGTTTAATGATTTGGAACCGGACCAATTTTTTCAAACTTACTGAACCTAAATGATTCAAAACGATATGATGTGATGAAGCAATAACTATCCACAAAATCGACTTGTTAACGTGCGTTCTAGGTAGAAGAATGAATTTTTTCTCAAACATAATAACATTCATATGTACAAAATATTAGATACATAATTAAGTATGATTAAATGTCTTCATAAGCAATTGAATAATAAGAGTTTCGTAGGTCAATTATTTCACTCAATTAATTCAGACTTAATTATTAGGCATACTTCTTTCTTGAAACATCAATAACTTAGGATTATCTTCAATCATTAAAATATTGTTGACTAACTAAAAAAGATAAATAGTTTGTTTCCATAGTTTTTAAACCACAAACTGATCTAATTCGGGCCACACTCTTTGTCTGCCCTTTAAGCGTGAGATTAAAATTGCTTTGAGCTTTTATTTCTACGAACTAATTCTTTTTTTGTATTATATCCTTATACACAATCTTTTATATATTACTACCATTGAGGTAACTACTTCTATGAATTTGGCATTCATTTTGTGCTAATGAGGAGTGACAACTTGGACTGATGCATATATGTGCCTAGTCGTACGTTGCAGCTAACTGACTACCAAGACTGATAGATGGACGGAGTGGATTTTGAACATGAAACCTCAATGTTTATGGGTCGAGAAAACTAATCAGTAATTCATTGGTTCCTAATTAATACGCATACAAGTGATAAACGAAATTATTTTTCCAACACCTAGTTTTTAAATGAAATGGAATAAAATGTGAATGTTTATCATAAAAGGTCACCATAAATTGAATATTTAAAATACAGTACATCGAATGAATGTGCTGGTTATTAATATAATTTAAATACATAGATATATGTGTATGATGAAAAGAATAGTGATACCAAAATTTTAACCTTGACCGATGTGTACAATGATAATAAGTAATTATTTTCATTTCTCTCTGCATAGATTATTAGCAGAAAAATATCTAGTCTTTGGACAGAATTAGTTCATACATTTGTACAAATGATGCATATATATATAATTCTGATAATAGTACTTTCATTACACAACAAGTCAATATTAATTGTGACGGACATTCCAGAAATGTGCACTCCAGGCAAAGAGCAAAAGTTTGAGTTGAATTGGCAAAAGTTACTATACTGAACAGTATCAACAAAAAAATTCTAGGTATGTTAGTTAAGGTTGGTTTCAGATAGACAACTACTGAACGAACTAGAGAGCATTGAATATTGATTTTAAAATTCTTCAGAATGATCGAGCACCAAAGACTCCATCACGGAAAGAACTCATGATTGTTAAGTTCTCTGATGAGCACATGTCCATTAAATTTACCAAGTTCCTACTCATTACTGGATCTAGCCAATTTAGAATATGGTACAGGTGTCATTGATGACAATTCGTGCATTACTGTCTTATGCAAACAGGATAAAACTGTACCGAACATTAACTCACTAGGTGATTTTGTGATACGTGGGCAACGTTTCGAATATACAAGTATAACCTAAAGGAGTTCCCAATACTTATAAGCTCTTAATCGGTACACATACATTTTACCTAAGTCAGATATAGAAACATTTTGATAGAACAGTTCTTATTCATACCGATTTTCCATCGATCATCAACCATGCTAGTGCAGATGCTAAAACTTTTAAAATTAGAAGTTACTAAATTGTTCTGTTAGCAATTAAGACTAGGCCTAGAAGTTGATCCGTTTTGAAATACATAATATTCCTCTTTTTTTGAGGAAAAAAAAAGAAACAATTTAAAGCATTTTCTTTTTTTTCTGAAAATATTAAAACACATGAGCGTTAGATGCCAAATCATAAAAAAAACAAAGATTAATCTATAAAGAAATCCGTATTGATTGTTTCTAAATGATATCTATCATTCAACTGTGATTAGTTGAAGAAAAGAAACAACCCCAATAGAAAGATATAGAGAGGGAAGGACAAAGTAAACAAGTTTCTTAATTAAACTGTACATGTGTGTAGTGATAAGTAACACTATTTCTTTTTAAAAATAACAATTCATAGTTTTAGATTTCAATAAACAATCTTAATGAACAGTTTTGAACGAAAAATAAACAACAAACAATGAACACCAATCAGCAGATTGTTGTTTACATTCCAGGTGAAATAAAGTAATTGCTACTGGATTTATTCCTTTACTTCAGTGATATTTAACTATATATATATATATATATATACTTTCATTAAAAAAAACAGAATCAGGATTGCAAATTTCGTCTTTAATCGGGTTCATCATATGGATGTATTAAGACTTTAATTTTACTTACTAAGGCTTTTCGCTACTTTGCTTCTACTTCACACAAAAAATGTACCATGACGACAAAAATGACAATGAGGCATTGTTTATGCATGACGAATACTCCTGGAAAGGAACTTTAAAGGAAAGCAAGACACTGTTGAATCCATAGTTGGACCACAAATAATGTCTAGACGATACTTGTGAAATAGTTTAGTTTTCATATTTACCTTTATTAACAACCGAATGACACTGTCAGTTAAGTAGTTATATCGACGTAGAACCTGGTATGAATAAGGATCAATTCAAGTTGCTACACCACACATATGTCAAAATAAGAGTGTATCGACTAAACTTAATCCCTTCACTTATCTCTCAAATAATTTAAACAATCAAGGCACGATAATATTATGATTGTAAATAATATCGAAAGATCTGCAGGAAGAAAACAATTTCAATAACTTACCAATTTCGACATAACTGACGGTGAACGAACAAAGGTATCCGCTGGCGTTGACTGGTCATTACCATAATTAATACTATTATTATTGATGAGATTTGCTACAGACGACAGTTTAGACTGTTGTTGTTGTAAGGTAAGAGATACTTGAGATTGTATGTATTCTTGTACAAGTTGAGGTAAACTCACACGTAACTATAAAGAAAAAAACAATTTGATCGAGTAATATATATGTATACATCATAGGTTCAGAAATAAGATAAAGGATATACAAGAGCAAAACATATCCAACAAGAAATGTATTAAATTAACTTATATACATAAGATGCTTGAAACTGACCCCGAGAAATTTCGTAAAAAGAAATTTAAAAATCAACGTTGTATGCTATCCTAAATGGCATTGATCAACTGACGAAACTGTTGATTTTAGCGTTTTTCGAAGAATTCTGGAATTTTAATCCTGTACACAAATCAGTGGCTACTTGAACTCAGTAGCCACATGAATAATGCGATGGCGTTTGAAGAGAAAGGTATTGGGTTCAAGTCTAGGAGTGAACATTAAATCTGAGATGAAGGTACATTTAGCTGACGAATCCCAAATAGGTCAGAACGCGTGTCCCAGAACCTACTGCAACTCACTATCCATCCCTGCTTAAAATCTTGTAACTTGATGGCAATATCGAGGTAATCTGTGTCGGATGCACGTATGCCAATAAGAGACTGATCAATTGCAGTCCTAAAACATCAATGTTAAGATTCAAAAAGCGATCAATACAAAAATGAATTAAATTTCACCCCATTTCACAAGTTTATGGCTATTTGAACTCAGTAGCTAAGTGGATAACGCGATGGCGTTCGAAAGAGAGGGAGAATCCGACTGAAATACCTTTAAGAATCCATTGTATAAACTTTAATCAAATCGTCCCTTACTATCAATTGATTGAAAGGAGGGAAATTATAAGAAGGAATCTATCAATGGTAATTTTAGACACTTTAATATAGTTGCTATGGTTACCGGGATGTAACTACTACTAAGCAAAGCGGTTGGAAAATAAAAAATCTTATTCACCAATATTAACAACAAATAAATCCGAGAAGATTTATTTACAAAATGGAATAGGAAAGTTGAAATAAAAAGCACTATGAAATTAATTCATAGCAAAAATTTGTAAAAAAAAAAAAGTATTGTTGAAAATCAGCAAGTATTAAACAGCTGTCACATTTTCGTTTTCCGAAATCCTCAGTAGTGTGCACTGATGACTATGTTGTTAGTAGTAGGATCACATTCTTTCTGTATACAAAGGTCATGTTGGAAGCGCTTGATGGCAATGGCCTCTAAAAACAGATTGGTGTACGTTACCTGTTAATTATTTTGAATGGTTTTGAGAAATCCACGTTGTTTATTATCCATTAAATTTTTAATGGTCTTACTTGAAAAACGTAACTTCCTTTCATACACAACATACAGGGAATATGTTCCGAAAACCTTAGATGCCCCATTTTCAGTCCTTTCTATGTACTTGCATCCACAAGTACATGTGAATTCGTAAGCACATTTACAGGTGACCTCAGAAAGATATTGATTCACTTTTGATTGATTTAAGTAATATCTGGTGCTATAAACCGAAAATAGTTGCGGTGCAAGGAAACATATCTTAAGCGCTGGTTTAATCCTTTTATGGATTCTGCCTGAAATCTCTTCACCTTTGAATGCAAGTCGGATGAAGACAGGTTTTCTGTTAACAGTAGTTTGTTAATCATTTTTCTGTTCTTCATAATAGATTTTTTTGAATATCCATTTTTATCAGCCACTCTTCAATGTACACTATTTCTTCCTGTATTTGTCGGTTGAAGACAACCTTCCAGCACTATTAAATAGTGTTTAGACTAAACAGGATGAAAATCACTATTATTCGATGGTGTTTTGAAGTAGTTCACAATAATAGATAAAAGTGGATTTGGATTCATCGTGTATGATGAAAAGGGTATGTTGGTCCATCATTGACAATTTTTGAGCATCAATTTCGCCTACCCATCTCCCTCTCTTGATTTTACATATATATTATAAAATGGGCTATAGATAGTCAGACTATATAGAGCGAATATTTTTTTGGTGCATACATTGACAATTTTGATTCTCTTATAATATGTTTAGTCTGTTGATCAATAGTTCTTTTACCTGATGATAGCTACACGTATTAATGTTCAAGGATCGATTTATAGCAACTCTCCTACAATCAATTTCGATTATGGTTAAATTTTGGTTAAGTCCTTTTATTTACTTACTTGACAGACCATGTTATTCGAACAGTAACAATTCACATATTTCTTTGTACTATTATGATCCCCATCATATTTGTATAAACGTGTACTCTGGATCACATGACAACCTATGCACAGCTCTCCCTAGCTTAAATTTTAATCGCTTAAATATCGCTCGATAAATCATTTCCTTCCCCGCGTATATATGTACTCTAATCCTATTATTAGCCTTTACTTTGCCATGCTGTACCCTTGTGCGATTTGTCTACAAATTTGCCTCTGTATTTACTTGCACATAGATATTCGCCTCTCTCCTTCAAATTCGCTTGACATGCTTATAGCTTTGTGATTTGCGCTATCTGCTAATAAGCTCCCGCGTCTTATTGCCTTCTGATTTCAAACACTGTTGAGATTTATATTATAACGGTTATCGAGGTGATTCATTAAAGAAGTAAAGCCACTACATATTCCATGAGCAAATTATACGTCCAACCACTTTAGTTATTTTACAAGTGTGCATAGAGCTATCATGACAGTCTCATGTTTATTACTATCATTAATCGATAAGATTGAAATGTCGAAAAACATTAGAAAATTTTGATAAACTTTGTCAATGAATGTTAATAAGTATTAGGTTTTATTTGAACAAAAATTCTTGTCAATTCGTTCCGACTATATAACACAATTCGTTATATGTAACCCAATAATTAAATGGATGTTTATATACTTATATGCAAGCAATTCTACTTTATCAGACAAACCGAGGTATACAAGTGTAGGAGTCGAACTTATGACATAATCAAAAGTCGAATGAACTAAGCATTAAGTCATATACAACTTCAATTGTAATAAAACATTTAATCAAATATATGTAAATCATACAGATCAATTCAATGAGCTTTAAAATATGATCTACAAAATGATATTGAACAAAATTTATCATATGGGCGAGTGTACAGTTTTGGTGTATATTCAGAGGATGAAGAACAATCTACATATTGAAACATTTATATTCATAGGTCATAAACAATGTAGGGCAGTAGCAGAAGTAAACGGTACTAGTGGTAGTAGAAAACATAGAACGAATTCATGAAATAAAGTGTTTTTAAAAGTCTACAACTATAGAAAAACAAAGAGTGAATGGATCTGTGCCATTGTGACATCTATATGGTAAATTTTCATACGATACGTGTACATTAGCAAATCAAATATGAAATAAATTAGTCTATTTGCCAACTATAGATGACTTATGTACTTCTTTTTTAGTCCAATCATTTGTGATATATATTTCTGTAAATGATCATGATGCGACTCAATTATTAAAGGTAAAGGCTTGTGTAGTAGGCTTTGGGTAAAGTTTACCGTTTTGTGTAAGCATAAATAATATTGTGAGTTTATTCAAAATACAGTTGACAGCTTGTTCCTAACTCAGCAAAGTTAGATGGTGATTGGAAGACTATTGTAAGTGAATCATTTATCTAAACAACTTTAGGTCACATATATTTTTATCTGGATTATTTCAGTAAATCAGATATTCTTATAAGATTAACACATTACTACTAGAAAGTTGTACGAGGTCCAAGCCGATTTGACAACTGTTTTTAATCATTAATAAGTAATAACAATATTTTCATCAATTTAATAGTAGCTATCTAACAACCGCAAATTTGAACAGCTTAATGTAATCTTGATAACCTGTATACATCATGTGTGACACAAGGCAGTACACAAACACACACAACTATGTGTCACTCTAAACAATCGTGAAAGTCAATGAAAAACTCACTATTTTGGCATGATTATCTTGTTAATGAATAATTTGCATTTCTTAAAAATATATAAAATGAGTACAAATAATAATCTACAATAAATGAAAATTTGAAGATAATATAGACAAGTACAATTTATGTTGAATAAAATGACAGTTATCAAGTTGAAGTCAACCAGTAAGTGATATAACTTAATCTTTCAAATAAACAAATAACATATCCAAATAATATAATCATATGCTCTGAACTCAACTAGTCGTTTACCAGGTGCAGATTTGTACATTTGGATGTTTTTGGCACACTTTCTATGTGTTATAGCCTAGTGATACTATTATGTTTGACAAACCGAAGTAGATGTAGGGAGGTCCGAATTTGCAACATAGTAGTTGGAAGTCAAACATTTAATTTATTGAAGAAAATATGTGGGATCAGTTCATAAATTTATTAAATGTTGATCTGAGTGGTTGGACAGATGATGAATAATTGGTTGAGGTCCGAGAAATAACAGACTAGTGATTGGATAATTAGGATAGCATCTCTAAGATTCGATCATCATAGTGCACATCTATTAACTCTATCTTCTCCTAGATCTTGAGCGACAAGACTGCTTCATATCTGCCATTTTACTCTGTCTTCTCTAACCATGTTCTCGATGGTTAGTCCTTCATATTATTATTGCTACCATGTGATTTCCGTATCATTTACCATTCTAATATTGAATGAAAAATTAGGCTTATGAACATCTGTCCAAGGCACTTATTTAGTAATGACTGACTTCTGAGAAGAACTGAACATTGAAAATACATTTCGAAAAGACAATATATAAAATTATGTATGAAAGAATACCGGAATTCGAGATCTAGAGGAAGATAAAGTGTGAATTATATCTACTTATTAATCTACCATTGTAAAAAAAATCACTATCACTCATTCTTTAGTTTCACCCACATACGCAAGAGATCCTTCAAATGTACCAAGAACTAAACACTAACAACCTGAGAATATCTTCTGATTTCAGTATATGTTTTATAATCATGAAACAATAAATAGTTGCACAACTTGTATTTGATGAGTAAATAAATATTTTAGTTACGTTATATATGATGTATGATGACAATTACTAGAAGAAAATGGATCCGAAAAGATGAGTAAAGCATATAATTTTTTAAATGATAAATTGTTCAAGTGTTATTCTCAGTAACAACGATAATAATAACATTTCGACAAGCACTAAATAAATATAACATCGACGATCCATAAAAAATGAAAAATTAGCTTACTTACACCAGTTCGACTGCCAAGTGTTGACGTCCCACCTGATGTAGGTACAACACCGGTATTATTATTATTCATATTATTATTGACATTAACGCCATTGACAACTGATAATTTCGGTGCAATAGTATTACTTAATTTTGCTTCAATTTTACGTGTAACATTCTCAGATATTCTTTGTATTGTAGTAGGATCACATAATGATTTATCTTGATTAACTATTTTCGATGCAGCTATTAATTCATTATCTCTTGTTATAACCATACCATCTAAACTGCCAACAGATATAGTACGTTGACGTCTTTTCTCTTCAATAATACGTTGCATTATTGATCCACTAATAATAATAATGATAAATACACGGTAAACGCATGATACACCGATAGGATGAGCAGGGAAAGAAGAACGATAAAACAAAGTAAAGGAAAAAGAGTTACATAGTTTATGTTAAGGATAGAGTGGATGAGTTTCATATTATTATTTATGCTTGAAATTATTATGGATCAGCATGATAGTGATTAAATGAACAAATAATCAGTGCTAAATAAGAATGCAATATATGAATAACTGTATAGCATAGAACAGACGTAATCACAGTTAGTTACATTCATTCTTTTTCACTCATGAATTAGAAACCTTTCACTTGGATGAAACAATCAATCATAATTGGACGGAAGATCTAACACGATTATGTGCACTGGTCTCAGAAGTCACAATCAGAAAGACAATAGACAGCATAATAAGTGAAGGAGAAGATTTAATGTGAACGTCAATGAAAATGTGAACATGACAAACACATTTTAAAAGAATAAATAGGATCGTAAATGAAAAGTAATGAATAGAAGTGTTTCACCATTCTTGATTTTCCACCATTTGATTAACGCATTTCTAAGTGCAGGTTACGACTACTGCACGGGCCTAAATCGGGCAATTTGTCCCTTCTGAAATGACTGAGTTTAGATCTCGTTGAAAAATAACGCATCTTTGCTTGCTAAATTTTATGTCAGAAAGCTTTGGAAATTTGAGTAAACAATGGGTAGGCAAGTATAACACGTCCTAATCAATTCGATTGATGAGTCTTACACCTTAATTTATTGGATTGCTCACTGAGTCAACTTGCAGTCTCGACAGATCGGAATTATCTTAAGAAAAATAGTGCAGAAATGATTTGCTGGTTTAAGTATCTCACTTTCGAATGATGGATTTTAGACTCATAACCTGTGATTCAACAACTAAGTCACACTTTAAACAGCTGGAATGTATCACTAGCTATTGAACAATATATGTGACTGAAAGCTAAGTAGCATATTGTGTTAGAAAAAACGATATCAATTAATATTACTAAAAATAAAGGATCTGAGAGAGAGAGAGAGGTAGAAAGTAAATGATTGAAAATCGTAGAAAAACAAACTCACCGATAAACAATGACACGGCGACTAGGTGTCCTTTTACGATTAGCCGTTCTACTAGATCCCTGATTTTGATGATTAACTGAACGATTACCGGTTACTGCATTTGATCGTGTATTCATTACACCAGGATTTTGTTGTGTTCGATTATGTGAATTAAAAATAAAATGTTTATTCTGACGTCCGTTTCTTGTTTGATTGGTATCATGAATACGATTGTACTGTGTAGAGCTTCTTCTCCCGCCACCAACCCCAACGGCTCCACCACTACCGCTGTCATTTGATTTTGAACGATATTCACCTGGTTGACATTGAAAACCTGGTTTATTGCCGTTAATATCATTAGTCATCACAACAGGAGCTGTATTTGAATGTCTTTTTACACCGACGGTATGAGCTGTAGCGGCTGTTTCTAGTCCTGCCAGATATTTACGTCGTCGAGCTTCTAGTAGAACACGTTCTGCTTCAGCACGACGTATTGCTGCTGCACGACGAGCAGCTTCACGTGCTAAACGTTTGGCTTGCTGTGCTTGAGTTATCTGAAAGTGTACATCCCATGGGCGAAACAATAAAATAAGTGTCTGGAAAGAAAAAAAAAGAAAGAAAAACTAGACACTTAGTTACCTGTTAATGTTATAATTAAAACGCTTACTAATTTAAAGAAAAAGTAGAAAACATGAATTTCGTTTTTGTAGCGCTAAGTACTAATCCAGTATGTCTATATAATTAGTAGAATACGGTACACTAATGAAATGAATTGATTGTATACTTTTTCGGGTTATTATTATTATTACTATTACTATTACTATTACTATTACTATTACTATTACTATTACTATTACTATTACTACTACTACTACTACTACTATTATTATTATTATTACTACTACTACTATTACTATTACTATTACTATTACTATTACTATTACTATTACTATTACTATTACTACTACTACTACTACTACTACTACTACTACTACTATTATTATTATTATTATTATTATTATTATTATTATTATTATTATTATTATTATTATTATTATTATTATTATTATTATTATTATTATTAGAGTACATGTTTGTGTACTAGGCAGTGAAAAAGTTTTATTGTATTATTAAACTGATGGAAAAAGAAATAGAATAGAAATCAATAATCAAGGATTCAAGTGGTTAAAGCAAGAGAGGATAGAGTTGAAATATAGTCATGTCAAATGTAACAGATATTCTCAATTTGGAGCCTCCTCTGTAATCGTAATCTATAGTAGGACATTAAAGGTGAACATAATTTGAAACCGGTGATAATAGTATAGGTGCATTTATTTCTTATCTTCTACGAAGTCTTTAATATTAATCATTCAGCATACTTCCAAAATATGCCACAACTTGAATTGATGAATATATTTGTACTAATTAAAATTGTATTTAATATGGCTTGAACTGTAATTTATTTTTATTTTAGTTTCAATGTATCATCAATCTTCAGTAGAAGAATGTTAGGGAGAAAACAAGTTGGAAACTCGTGTATTATCACAAACATTAATGGAATACAGTCATTTGAAATTTTTTTAAAAAACGTTATTTTACGACTAAATTGACGACTTACAAGACATTGAAAACAAACTGCAGCCAGTAAAATCAATGTCCCACGCCATGTGAATAATAAAACTAAGCGTGGAATTGCTTGACCACCGACTAAACAACCCATACCACTGCCACATAAGGCTAGGCCAACAGCTAGTGGACGTTTCTGTTGAAACCAATGTCCAACGGTAGCTATAGCCGGTAAATAGATAAATGATAGGCCGATACCTGTTGAATAAACATAAATGACAAACAATAATAATAATATGTAAAAACAATTACACAGATCGACGATACTCAACTACGTAATTAACAGAATACATGAATAACCGAAGTAACCCATTATGTCATTGAAGAAAAATCAAAGACAATTCAGTGAAGAAAATTTTCTATTTGAGAATATCACTTACTCAACCTGAACAATCATATTTATAGTTAATCAACAAATAAAATAGTCTATTGAGAATTTGGGCCACGATTACATCATAACATGTGTTAAAACAACGTTGCATAATGAACGAGAATTTGAAGAAACAGAATAAGATAATGTCTAACGTATGGAACAGAATTGTCCACTTGACGAGTATGAGACGAGTGAAATATAAATTAAAGACATGAATGTGATGATGAGTAATGAAAATTAAGATTACAAATATCAGAAGGACGTACTAACAATGAAATTATAGTTTGTGAAAAGTTTCAGGGCCACGGAAGAATGATGGCTTACACATGTCTCTTTTGCACGCATAGTACAGGTTTGAAAAGATGAATTTGTTAACGCCTTACGGTCCATAGCTTATTTAATTTGTGCTCCTCTCGAACTAAATCGTCTGACTGTAGATGATTTTAAAGGATCATATGACCAGAGTTGGAAAGATTATTTAGTATTGAACTAATGCTTGTTCTGCATTCACATTTCGAAAGCCACACAGTATAATGTTCTGAGATGCGTTTGTCAAATGCCCGCTTTGTGTGACTGATGTAACCTGCCCCACAGGAGCAAACAAACTTATAAATACACATTGATGTAGCTCAATGAGAGTTCATCCTTTACATATCCACGAAAAATGAGGTAACTTGAAAGGACTATGTGAAGCTTGGTACCATAAAACGTTTCCTTCAAAGATTTCATCGGACGAATTTTCAAAATTTCCACAGCACAATTTCTCTTACACACACTGTTTATTGTATCTATCTCTTTTTAACATTGTACTTAATAACTTTGGAAACAAAACATCAACCCATACGTATGTGAGCGAGAATATATCACATCATTCTACTCTTCGTTATTATTGTGCTACTTATTAAACCAACTCAACCATGTTACTTTCTTTAATAATGAACAAACTTTGAGTGTGAGCAACATTCTCTACTGTCCACAAAGAAACGGAAAAGTTAGCCAGAATGGAGTCTCATTACGTAATCATTAGGACAGTCCTCTGTATTCATTGTTTTACTAATGTATTTCAAGAACAAACAAACTAGTGATCACTTATGTTTATCATAGCTATTACGTTGATCTTAAGTATTCTCTGATTAGTAGTTACTTTCTCTTATAATAGTAATATTATTATGTGTTCCGATGATTCTCATCGTTACTATATGGACAGACTTACTATATCACACTTTAGGCTTAATCTGGAAACAAAAATTCTCGTATAGTCGTCAGAAACCATTTTCTCTTGACATTTATTGTGATGCTAGAGAAATTATGATTCATGTAGCAGATGCAGTTATTGGGTGCGAATAAACAGTAAAACTTATTCCAGTTTCTTTTCACATAAGAGTAAATAGTAGTAGTAAATAGCACATCAGTGCTATTATACTACTACTGGCTAACTTCTTAGTAATTTCGATCATTGGTAAAGTGTGATTGTTCAAGCTAACGGTCTTAAATTAGCGATAAGAATAATAAAAAGACAATAATAGGTCAAAAATTATATGATGAGTATATCTGAAAAATTGCGACAATATGGATATGGTCTCCATATGATTATATTACATCATACTGAGAAAACACGAGAGACTCAAGCTGGCTTTAGACCTGGTCGTGGCTGCATCGACCACATATTCACCACTCGTCAGATTCTAGAACACAGGCATACTTATCGGCGTCCGACAATGGTGGTCTTTCTCGACTTAAAAGCAGCATTTGACTCTGTAGACCGCGAGATTCTGTGGCAGTGCCTGTCATTGAAAGGCGTACCCCAGAAGTACATAAACCTTGTAAAGGCTCTTTACTCGAACACTACTAGTCGAGTCAGAGCTTATGGCGAACTGTCATCTACTTTTGCAACCTCAAGTGGTGTCCGTCAAGGCTGTCCACTTTCCCCATTTTTGTTTAACTTCATCATAGATCTACTGATGGAAATAACTTTCTCGTCGACTGAGTTCTCGGGTATCGATCTCCATCCAGGAGGTCCACTTATCGACTTAGAATACGCAGATGACATAGTCCTATTTGGTGAAGACGCTGACAAAATACAGAGTCTTTTGGTAGCACTAAGCAACAATGCCAGAATGTTTGGAATGCGCTTCTCTCCCTCGAAATGCAAGTTGTTGCTTCAGGACTGGTCTGCGTCAACACCTGAACTAAGGATAGGGAGTGAAGTAGTCGAACGCGTTGACAACTTCACTTATCTTGGAAGTCTGATCAGCCTTAATGGGTTGGTGTCTAACGAAATCTCAGCACGGATTCGAAAAGCTCGCTTGGCTTTTGCCAACTTGCGTCACCTTTGACGAAGGCGAGATATCCGTCTATCAATAAAAGGACGAGTATACTGCGCGGCAGTCCGTTCTGTTTTACTTTACGGCAGCGAGACATGGTCATTAAGAGTAGAAGACACTCGTAAGCTACTAGTATTTGACCACAGATGTCTTAGAAATATTGCTGGCATCTGCTGGGATCACCGGGTAAGTAATAGTGAGGTTAAACGCAGGGTATTAGGGAATGATGGTAAATCAGTTGATGAGATTGTGAATCTTCATCGACTGAGATGGTTGGGCCACGTGTTACGTATGCCCGAATACCAGTTACCACGACGTGCAATGCTATCCGGTATTGGAGATGGTTGGAAGAAAGTTAGGGGCGGTCAAACCAAAACGTGGCATCAGTGCTTGAAGACACTAACTTCTAGTCTGAGCCATGTTGGTAGATGCAGACTACTTGGTTGGGGTCCGCGTGACTTTCGTAACCAATGGTTGGAGACTCTTGGTGACATGGCTCAGAATCGATCACAATGGCATCGGTGTATACACTCCCTGTCTTCCCTTAAACTAAAAGATTAAAATCACTTCATATCTTTCTTTCTACGAACCAATTCTTTCTTCTTGTACTATATCTCTATATGCAATCTTTCTCTTATATATTACTACCTTTGACCTAACCACTGCTATGAATCCGGTGTTCATCTTGTTGTGCTGATGCGGTATGGCAACCTGGACCGATGCACATATGTGCCTGGTCCTACGTTGTAGCTGACTGACTGGATACTGAGAAAAAACCATGCGACTATGGAATGAAAAAGTACCATCCAGCAAAAGAGAAGGATATGAGGTGAAAACTGTGAGACTGTTGGCAGTTATAGTATAAAAGGGTTGAGTAAGTAGAAAAAGAGAGAATCGCTGACGGAATGGATTGTTAACACTTGTCTTTACTGCTACAAATCGGATTGAAATTTATTCTTCCGATTACATAAAATATAAGACTTCTCAATATCCAGCAGAAAAAGCTGGCTAATGAATCGACGTCACGTATGATTTTATGGAACTACGAAGTAGACAAACTACGCCTGGAGCCATTCTAGGATTACTTCCGGTCCGAAGCCCGGGTAGAGGAGTGAGGTTAGATATTGAGATAGTACCTCCATTCAGTAAAAAAGAACCTTGTTAAAAAGTGCTAGCTAGAGGGAAAATTAAGTATATACAAGTACACGCTAACATATTTATGAATGCGTTTAGCAACATATCCGTTTAAACAAACATACTTTACTCGAACGAAACAATATGTAACGTTGCTAATGAAAGAAGAAAATGTTTGAAATCTATGATTTTGGAATATTTTGTGTGTGTTGAACACTTAAATCTTTAGACAAACCAAGTCATCAAAAACTAGGTAAAGTTAGTATGATTACACCGGAAAATTATGTCGCCAAGCCATGAACAAGATAGGCTGAAGATCTAACTAGATCTCGAAAATAAAAATGAGCACTTAATTTCCACATTGTCCCATCAGCAAGAAATTCTAGATTTCTAAGATCTGTTTTCCCAATAATTTGCGGTAATCCCTCTATCTATTTGCTTTCCCATAATTAATCGTCATATACTCAGCTTTAAAATACAATACTTGATTGAAATCTGAAGACTATCCTATCCCAATTGTCCAAATCTGAAGAACATAATAATATGAGGAGATGGTAAAACCTGTAGTAGATATTTTAGAAGTCACATTATCTCTCAACAACGAACTTAATTAGCTACAACGGCAATAAACATCCATCTTGCAAACTTGTAGACTTGAAGAAAATACTGATTGTTCTGGTTTTAAGTTTGGAGCAGAATGCGCTTTAAATTCAAGGAAGTTATTGGTATTGATTTGTTTGTCAATGAGTGAAATTTACATCATACAAAAAGCAGTCTTGGTTACAAAAAATAAAACCTTACTTATCGTACACATTTTAAGTGAATAGAACTTTTATCAACTATATTATGAAGCATTCTGTTATCAGGACTGGAAAAGCGTGATAATATATATATATATATATATATATATATATATATATATATATATATCACTACTACTTACCACCAAGAAGCCCAAATGTCAATGTAAACAATTCAATGGTTGTTACAAAAGCACTGCTTAACAATGCAATTGTGGTAATAATTGCACCAATCATAGCCACCGGGCGAAAATCAAATTGATTGCTCAACGCACTAACGAGTGGACCTATAGTGGTGAGACGGGGAACATCATAATCGACAAAGAAAACAAAAGATAAAGAAATATACTGAAAATAAAGTAGAATAGTGATTGAAGTTTTTGAAGTAATATATTTTTCAGATCACTCCTCGGCAGACTAATAGTAAATACAAGAACATATTAATATTACTGATTTAAAACCATTTTTCTAATTCAACTAGAAAATTGTACAAGTCTTAAGTAGACAGTTTAATTTGAATGATAAGAGGAACCACTTGAAATGAAAATCATCCGTCATTAAATTATTACCTAACATTATCCGTGTGAGGCATGCGATGATGATAAGGAGCCCAAACTGAGGTAGGTGTTTTTCTCAGAAACTCTCGTGGTTGACTTAAAGGTTTAGTTCACAAGGAAATGAAGAGATGTTGGGAGATGCTCTCTCATAATATTTAGTGGTCAAAACAGATCCGCACACCACTGATTCCCTCAGAATCCTAGACCTATTGTATCCACCAACCTGATCCAAGTGCATGATGTTAGATTTACTCCCCCACTTATATAAACATTATCCGATCACGTTAAGACAGTAATAATATCAAAGGAAGAAGCTATAAATGAGTGGCAACATGAGAGCACTTCAAAAGGGAAATCCTACTCTTCAAATCATCAGCCTTAATAGGACATTTAGCAGCAAAATATCAGTCAACTGGTCGGTCCTCATCTAGAATGCTGATACTTTATTAAATCCTTCTTCCTATTACACGAGCATTCGCACTGATATTTATAAACAGTTTATATAAAAAAGTGGCCATGTGCATGCAACCAGTGTCATGGTGTTGTTTACGAAATTGAGAGGACGAAAAGCGAATGTTCGGCGCTGGTGTATACGGAGGATCCACCTAGGGGAGTTGGAAAACCCTGATCTCAAACTAATGGTGTACATGGGCTCCAGAATCCTAAAGAAACAAATGGAGGATTAACCGATTGTTGGTCACCGACTACCATGGGAACGTATCTCCTAACGTTGCTCCACTGCCTTGTGGATTAGACCTTTAGGTCAAAGGCCCGGGGTGTGGCTCCCTAAGAAAACCACTTGCTTCGGTTAAGGCACCCGGGCAGTATCCCAGCCCTCACACAAATCAAATGATTTGTATGAGTTTTAGTAATACACCTGGTTGCTCCACTGAAGTAGGTAGAGGTTTGAACTTCCGACTTATTGAACCGAAGTCGAGAGCCTCTGATATATATATATATATATATATATATATATATATATATATATATATAAACAGAAATGAATAATTATGTATGAATCAATGTTATCGTGTCTTTTTGGTATTTGTACGTGATAAGCTACATTGATAATTAATTGATTGATACTTTGAAATGAGACCTAATAGTTGACATGAAATAAAAAAACTTTCTACGGATAAATACTGTAAGAAAAAGTCATTGTTTACAGATATATATATAATAGGCCTGATGGGATAACTTCCAAGATTTTAAAGGATGATTTACTTTTACCCTTCGAGAGGTTTTGGAACTTTTTGACGCCCAACAATAGTCGTATTCCTTGACTTTAAGACGGTGTTCGACTCTGTTGATTGTGATGTTCTGTGGCAGTGTCTATCATTTGAAGGTGAACCAAACAAGTACACCCAATCACCACCTACTTTAACAAGTAACGTTGTCTGCTATATGAGCAGATTGGAGGAAAGCTAGGGGTAGTCAAACCAAAATGTGGCACCACTCTATTAAGTTATTTACAATTGGACTGATTCATTGTTAACAGATGTAGATTATTTAGTTGGAGTTCGCGATCAATCGTTAGAGACTTTGAACGACACGACTCAAAATTGCTTGCAATGGCAGCGGTACATTCATTTTATCTTACCTTAGATCCTACGTTTCTCAATTCCCCAATATTTTACTCTTCTTTTGAATGGTGTCTTCGATGCCTAAACCTTTTCATTACCACTAATATCGCTATTACGCCTACTAATCTGAGATTTTCCCTGGCAATTTCATCTCGCTGTGTTATTGTACCAAGTTATACATTGGGTTTGACTGGATGAGTAGGGAACCTGTAATCCACCAGCTGACTACATGGGACGAAACAATAGAAGACATTTCAAAGGACGAGATGATAGTATTAGAACTTTTCTCGCTATAAACATTGTTTGTTTATACTGCCATAAAACTCTTGCTAGCTTTGAAGAGTTATATGGAAAAGCCAATAAGAATCTTTATTTCCTTATATCACATTATAACTACAAAAAAATGAAAGATGGAACTAAGGGTGCATATACGGTTTCAGCGTTTAACTAACTAACATACTTTACTCCATTCCTCAGGTACAAGTGGGTAACGCTATTTGTCGAACACCAAGACTATAACTGGCCTATCCGCTCTGCTGCTACTGATGTGGGTTTTTCGTCCAATAATATTAAAAATATTTAGTACAGTATACACTATTCTCCACAATTTCGAGTTATTAAAACCTTAAAATTCACGAAGTAAAACTTAGTCGATAGGGTTAGATCATTTATTCGTCACGGATGATATATTGATATCGAAAGGGAAAACATCTAAAATACAGTAACATAGTACAGTTAGCTTGGTCTTAATTTTGAGACTCCTGAGCAAGACCTGCAAGGAATTGAATTCATAAATATCAAGTCCTTCATGAACCTCTCTCTCTCTCTGATAATGATTACTACTCAATCAACGAGCAATTTGAGTTACCACACAAATTGAATTGCTATCATTTGTTTCGTGAGTCGATCACACATAACAATTTTTCCCTAAATTCACTTATATTTCTATCAAAAAGCCAAGAACATTTGTTAACTTACCAAGAAATAGATATAGACCAACTATTAGACCACCAGGAGTTAATAAAATCGAACGTTGTTGTATTTGAAAATCTTCACCTAATTCTGAAATTGGTATACAACTGCCAATGATTGGTTGGATAATACGATCATTACGAGGGTATTTAATTGGACCACTTTCATTGAATTTCCGTTCATTTGGTGATGATGATAGTACACGTAAATTAGAATATGGACAAACTGGATTTATTAATAGACCATAAGTGAAACATATTCCATCAACTAGTACCATACAACAAAATGAACCGAGCACAACAAACCAACCCCAACCACCGTCAGATACAACATCGTGTGCATTCAATTCTAATATTATTATAACCAAGAAATACAAGAGAGAAAAATAGAAACTAGAAAATTTGAAGTAAACACAATTATTACACTAACACAACAGAAAATGGTAGAAATTGTTTGTTTGCTTTCTTTTAGAAAAAAATCAAAGTTTGCAAAAATATTCACATATCTTTGGCTTATGCTATACTACTTATTATTATTACTATCCAGAATAATTATAATCATATTGATAACATTCAGTCCATTTAATGAGGGTGGAATTATTTTTATAACACAACGGAAAAACCGTTCAGATAGTTAAACAACGTGGTGCGCACATGGGATAAGTTGACATTGATCTAAGTTCTATGTCCACACTTTATGCTAGGACGGTGTGAAAGGAAATTAACCATAAGATGATAAGTAAAAAGCATCAATTTATCACTTAGTTTAAATGACAGAGAACGAAACAAAAACAAATATAGTTATGAAAAAAGACAGAAACTGACCAAAAAGATCGACTTCAAGTTATAGTACCTACAATGGTTAAGTCCTAAATCTCAATTACAGTGCAGACTCCAACCAGTACGTTTATATTCCCCAACATACCCTAGATAAACAGTCAATCACTGGTGCTATATCACCAGCACTTATATAGCTACCCAGATACACGAACTTCTCAAATGCTATCAGCTCAGTACCCAGAGTGGGGTAGGTTCAGGGTCATGTCAGTCTTGTAAAAGTACTTTGCACTTCGAAGGTGCAAAGCATATCTACGAACACTGATTGCCAACTGATTAAGTGAGGGTTGCATCCCTTGGGTATCACCGCACAGTAAGACAATATAATCCACATACTCAACGTTGAGAAGTCTTTCTCCAGGTAACGCATCCACATCACCATTGCCTACACCCATCAGAGCTATTTCCAGGACGTCATCGATGGCAAAGTTGACGAGGGATGGTGAGGTTGTGGGACCCTGACTAGCCCTACTGCTTGAATGAAACAGTAGATAGAGGTGGTTGTATGTCCTCACTCTGCCTGAGTTTTTTGTATATAGAACCTTCAAGATGCTAATCAACTTCTCAAGAACATCACCCTTCAATAGACAATCCCAGAGAACAGTCCGATCCAACAAGTCAAATGCGGTCCTGGTGTCAAGAAACAACGATTGTTGACCTGAAATAAGTATGTCAGTGTTCTAACATTTGGTGGAGATATGATCAATACATTCTCGACCAAAACCGGCCTGCTCCTCGCGAGTCAATCTTCCTCGTGTTTTGAACGATCTACGAAGTATGACGGTAGCCAATAGTTTGAGCGCAATCAGAAATAGACTTATCCCTCGACATTTTTTGCATAGGTGATGTGATTTGTATCCTTAGGATCCTGGAGTCCATGTGCACTATTGGTTTGGAATCGCAGTCTTCCAGCTTCCCTATGTTGATCCTCCGTACTCACTAAACCGGTTATAACCCCGGACATACGCTTTTCGTCCACTTAATTTTGTAAATAACACTCTTTGACAGAAGGCAATGAGTAGAGCTTCCTTGGCAGTGGCTACATATGCGTAACCGTGTCAAAACATTTCGAGGAGAGCGGACTCTCCCTACCCTCTGCAGTACCATGACATTTGGGGCCAGGTATCATTTAGTCAGATAATGTCATTTCATTTTATCTATCAATTAACATTTTATTTATTCATTTAACAATCCCCAAACGTCCTTCATTTCAAGTCATAAAATCCACTTCTACCGTAGAAAAAGAATGTCTTGTTAACTTTTCGGAGATTCAATTTAACGCAATTCAGTATGTAGTCTGTCAATGAAAATCAACGTACAGCCTGACACATGTTTTTGATGGCCCAGTTAGCAATACTGTATTGGAATGACGAGATGAAATTAACAAGATGAATGGCAAAAGAGACTGAAATGACATAGTGGCTATGATAGTGAGAAGGACAAAGCAATTAGAACATGGTTCGAAAAGACATGAAGGAGTGTTGGAAACCAACATCTAAAGTGAGGTATAAAAAAACAATGCATAACTCAATAGACCGATTTCTGAGCTGTCATCCACAGCAATCGCTGACAGATATCGTCTCACGGATTCCAACCAGTTATTATATACACGGCTTCGAGTTACATAGTCTGCGTGACGGCTAGTGATACTAATTCACCGGATATCCTGATAGAATAAGATGCAGAGAAGTTTTGAACGTGCAACGCAATGGTAAAATTATGCTTATAGACTTTAATTCCCCACCAATAAATTTTAGAATAAAACTCTAAACCCGTCAATTATAAAACTATCATTAAAATTTACTGAGATACATTAGTAGAGCGTATTCGATGAAGTCAAGTGCATGTAAAAATGGGTAAAACTTTAGCCTTATAGTATCCAAAAATAGTAAATAATTATTTATTTTTTACACCAAAGAATATGCACTTTTATTGTAACTTTCTATCTTTGTTGACTTACAGTAGGGTTTTACCTCAACTCTAATTCAAAACTATGACACAGTTCATTATTTAGTGTTAAACAATAGTCACCATGATAATAATAACTTATTAAAATTAGTCCCCAAATGTCCTGGTACGACCATAAGTTAAGAGAATCTACTGGCATATTTGGAATGCCCTCGTATAGCTTAAGGTTTATAGCTTCTGCCAATGAAGTACTCCTTACAGACTTCATGTGACGGGGGTGTATTTTACAGAACGAAAGGATGAAAACTAGATTTCTAGAGAATACACCAGGCCGATAGATGCAGAGGGTTCACCTAGGTGAGTTGAAAAACACTGATTTCAAATCAGTGATGCGCATGGGCTTCAGGATCTTGAGAAAACAAATGACGTATGGGAGATAAAGTGACTCAGTGACTTCGCAAGTTATCAAATATGACTTGAAGTGCAACCTAATGTCGACCCCAATGTATTCCCACTTTACTTTAACTACACATGCGAGTGGAACTCTTTTAACTGAAAGAAGTTCTTCTTGGTTGCATTTTTAAATTATCTGTATCTTCTATCACGTACTACTCTTGTCCACTTATTCCTTTTCATTTTGCCCACCTTTGTTTCTTCATAGCATTATTTTTTTCATTTATGTTTCACATATCTTTTCTGGCACCTAGGTGTACCAGAATCGGTATATATCAAATAATTTTTTTAAAGTTGAAAGATGAGTTGAAGTCATAAAAAAGGGGAATTTTGAAAATGTGAACTGCTGGATTTTGACACAATATAGATCTGAAGGCAATGTATTTTACGTGAGGTTGGAGGATCTGTTGATCGGTTTTGTATTGAGATTTGTGAGTGTACACTAGTGACCCTATCAAAAATGTGACAGCATCAGATAGCGATGAAAACTACCCTTCAAATAAATATCAGTTGTACCACAACAAATTAGATCAAATAATAATAAGAAAAAAAGAAAACGTTTAACTAACCTCCTATAGACGTATGATAATGTTGATCAGCAGTAGTCGTTACTTGACCAGGTGTTTGATAATGTATCAGTTGATTCGTTTTCAAATTATATTGTGATGAATGATAAGATGCCGCGGCTGTTGACGATCCACCACCACCACCACCAATGACTGATAATTCACCAGGATTAATCACACAAGCTGGTTGTAAATGTCCTGTTGAAGGGATAACATGAGATTGTTGAATTTGTTGCTGTTGGTTGTGATGATGGTGGTCTTCTTTTACTTTTTCATGTAATTCCTGTAAAAATCATGTAGAACATATGAAAAATTACCCTGATAGGAGGATTCAAAGAGATCATATGATTGCTATGTTAGTTTACAATATGAAATGAAGATAAGTAAAAAAGGAACGGGAATAAAAGTGTTGAATACGTTTTTCCTCATGGCAATGTAACTCTAGCAGTTAGAAACCAGACTCAATCAATGTCAACTATATAATCTGAATGTAACGCGCTAATCATGAAATACAGGGACTGTGGCATTATCATACGTATGCACTGCTGAGTCTTATATTAGAATGAAACAACTTCCCAATGGACCTTAGTCTTCAGAGATTGTTAGGTTCAAGTCAGTGACGAGCATTATATATAACTAACATATTAATTGAACTGTCAAGTGAATTGCGATTGTATGTATTGGTGGTTGCTTATATAATTTCAAAAGGCATCTCCGAAGATATCACCCTGAAAATTAAAGAAAAGAATCAACACTTATCAACGGAAAACAGAAAAGTATTGACAGATCTTTAGGAAAAGACACCGCTACCGAATACTTCGAGCACGAATCTTAAAATGGTTGGAATGAGTTTAGGATATGTTGAGCCAGTGCGATAATAGTTGGAAAATGATCTAGTTTCTGCCATAGAAGTCAACAAAATGACCTTACTTAGATATATTCTGGTAGTAGTAATAGGCAATCGGCAACGAACTACTAGCGAGAAGCTAATGTGATCGAAAATTCATCTAGGGAAACTACAACTTCGTAAAAATGACATCTTATAAAGTTTATAACCCCGATTGAAAATAACTTTTCGATTATTTCTGGACAACATATTTCAATCTAATAAGTTTTTTACCAAATTGAATTGCCTAATCTGTACTGAGAGTTACAAAAGCATGGATAACATAAATTTGTAAGCTAAATATTAACAACAGTTTACATAAAACTGACAAAACCCTATCCATTAAAGTGTTCACATTTAAGAAACAATCTCAAATCCTGTACGGGTACTTCTTTGGCTGACTTGTAAAGCAAATTAACGACCTAGGATTTATTTGTTTAGTGGTTAAATTTATAAATGTTTGTCCTTCACAGAGGTAAAAAGGAATAGGAAACAGGTTAGTCAATCTATCAGTTAGACAATTTTAGATATTAAGAAAGGGATACTCCAAGTGTTAAAGAAAAAATTCAATAATCCACACAGGATAGTTCCTAAACGAAACATCTATGAGTGTATCAAAAATATTGAGTTCTGTTCAACTTTTTTCCTCTGATCATCACCTTTTAAGATTGAATTGATAAAACATTATCTGGATACGTTTATCGGCTGATCAGATAATATTTAAAAAACCACTTACAGAAAAAATATCACATCATTCACTATCACTAAAGACGGATTCCGTAAACACAGCTGGAAATAAATTGAAACAACCGTTGACTAATGACTTATTACAGTTAGAAGATGTGCTTCAGTCTGGCATAAAACAATACCACAGAAAAGTATGAATAATGAAACATCAACAAAATATGGACCAGTTGTTTAAGTATACCTTTAAAAATAATCTCAAATCTTCACTGCCTGTACTATCTTCACTTGCTTCATGTTGTAATTGATCCACATCCTCAATTGTTATCTGGTCATTTTGTTCATCAGTTGATGCAACTATAGGATTAAAAACTTTCTCAGGTTCGTCAGTCATGTAGAGAAAAAAACAGTAATCCTAAGCTTTGTTTATAGATTGATTTGGTCGGTTTTTGTTAAACAAGGTGTGTTGGCTGATGTGAAAAATAATTATACATAAAATGAACATAAAAATAAAAACTGGACAAAATAAGAATGATTAAGGATCAATTGTACAAATTATGATTTATTTTAATTAATACAGTGTGGTTATACGGAAATATAACGACGGCTTCATTAACCTAATTATTTAAATTAATTCTGATGGACTTGTTAGTGAGGTTATCCCTAGACAGATGTATGCAGTTTGATTAATGTTTGGTGGCTTATCTGACATGTACTGATATCATAATTACTTAAGGTATCACCAAAAGTAGGTGAATGCAGCAGCTTATCTTCTTCAACTAGGTGATGGTCAAATTTGATAATATAAAGTTTGCAAGTATGTGATAGTGTTTTTCAAATTGATAGTTTCAAATAAATTGAACATTGGGTAGAGTTAATAATAAATATTTTTTTGTTACATCACAATGAGCAAAAATATAATTTTTCCACAAATTGGGATATGAAAAAATATACTCATTATTGTTTTTTAACTGTTGCTAAAATGCATCCCACGTTTACTTAAATGAGATTCTGAACATGAATTGAACCTCAAATGGAAAAGGATTGTATTTTCGGAAATAACTAACTAACTGACGAAGCATGTACAGCTCTGGTGTTTTAAATTTGACATCGTTATGTTCGATGTCGCTTATCATTTATGCTTGAAACGAGGAACCACGACAATTTACACGACGCGATCTACTCACCCCGAAAAGATGACGATGGTCCTAATCGAAAGTACACTGATGTATATACTGATTTGTATACACGTTTGATTATTAATTAGAAAAACGTCACATGAAAAATGCCAATAATTGTAACAAATCACATGTATATCATGATGAGTATATTTAATGTTAATTTAGTACAAGGAATATCGTATTTTGTCTAAACATACCAGTGAAATAAATCAATTTTATAACGAATAAAATATCAGACTAGAAAAATTAAACAAATGTTACTCCGAGTAATTACCATACTGAATTCAAAAACGGAATCACTATGAGTTCGAAATGAGAAACTTTGTCTTCTAATACCGTCATATCATAAATGGAGATGTATTTATTCATTTGTAGCAGTCTATAATTTAAACACCTATTTGAGCCTATGTGTGAAGCATTTAAACTAGTGGTTTTTGAAGAAGTTATATGGATTTATTCAAAAAGTTAACTACAAGTTAATGAGATGTGATTAGTGTCATAATTCTTACTAGTATACGTCTTGAATGTAACCAGATTAATAAATGCAGTCAAGTGAAAATTATTTAGTAGTGAATAATTCAATTTACTTTGACAAAGTATGTTTACTAGTGGACCACCATGGCAATTAGCAAAGTAACACATGAGAAATCGTTTATCAAATAGTAAATGCCTGGGTGAGATCTCACTCCGCGTTAAAAGTATGTGCCAGCTGAAATCATTTACTATTCAGCGCGATCACAACTTTCAGTGGACTCTTAAAGGATAGACTAAATCACGTGTGTACCAATATTGTATTATGTCAGCTCCAATAAAGAATAAGTAAACAGGGTAAAATGCAAATACATTTATTAGTCTTACTCCCTTCATGTTATATGATACAACTTTTGTTTCTTCAAGTTGTTAGTCTTCACAGGCATTCTTACTGCCTGTCGTTTATTTCTAGCCCATTAACTTCTTCCCAATAACCTTTACCCCACTGACTGCCATCTCAAAACCTTTAATAGATTAAAACAGTCAGCGAGCCGGCGATGTGACACCATGGATCCAGCAACCCTACTGCCCGGAGATAAAAGTGGTGATCTGGCTTCGGAGTGTACCAATTTCCTTATATTCGTCAAATTAGTTGGAACTGCTATGAGTGATTGGATAGATTAAATTTATTGGATACTATCAGAGACCTGAAATCGCTCTGATGTTGTGATCGAAGTGCACAAAAATAGGCCAGTTAGTACTGTCAAACCCTCAGCTTTTCGGAAAAGCTGACCACTTGATTGATATTCAGCAGAAACCCTATTTGGATTAGTGATGAAGTCTTGAGAGTGTACGACCAAGACTACAGAATTCACACAGGTCTAAGTAATATCCACAAAATTTGAGCACGACTAAGATATGAAAGAAAATTGAACGATTCAGCATATATGTTTGGTAACTGTATTTCATCATTTCAACACATATTTATATGAAAAATAATTATTTGATGAAACCTTTAGTTTTGAAGAACTGCTCGAAATATCATGTTAACAAATGCAAAACATAATTAAAAAGGAACTAGGAGAACTAGATATCCACAACTAAAAAACATACTGTTTCAACTCCAGTTTGCGATGGAATAATATATAGTTGGTCATTATTAACAAATGCAAAACTAAAGAAGCGAGATCTACGACAACCGTAACACAGAATTCAAACGAACCCGAAACTTTCCAGATGACCTTGTTAGCAGAATTGCATATTCCAATATCCAATATCCATCAACTCCTAGTTCCATCTGTGAAGAGAAGATCCTACAACGCTGTGCAAGTAGGTTTGTTTGAGTATTATACGATAGCTTTTGAAAGTTTTGTGTGATCATCTTTAAAAATCGCTTCACGTATACATTTTGGTCATTGATTCTTCATTAATTCAGCTGTAAGGTATTTTTCGGATTTATGGTGCTGATTGAGACAGTGGTACTTATTTATCGTTAGGTTTTCCTGGTTTTCATACTTGTCAAAGACCACATATGTCATTTTACCATACATAGGGTTATGGTGACTACTATGATAATTCGTCCCGCTTTTTGATTAGAGTGCACGAAGTCGATGGAATTGTTCATTTTTAGAATGGTAATACAAGCACCCTTCCAGCACTGGAAATACTCAGTGCTACAACGTGCAATTTCTGGTATGTTTTTTATTGTATTTATTTATATATTACCATTCTAACAAACTACGTGAACTCTCTAGAAACGACAGATTAATATTCCTATATGGTTAAGAAAGTTTAATTATTATAGCTGTAACAGTTTCATATCTTCCGTCAACTTATGTCACAGGTATTCGGAGTTTGACAACCCAATTGCACGCGATACCTTTACGTTCTAAACATACCAACCCAGTCAGATCAGAAGTCAGAAATGAAAGGGTTCGAAGATATATTTGGAAGGCCACCGATATGCCGAGAAGCGTTCGATCTGAGCTGACTAACTGTCGCAAGGGGCGCCCAGCACGGCGGACCCACTCGTGATCTCGTGCGGATAGACTTCAGCTAGGTTTGTCCAGCATTAACGTCGAAGACTTGTAGCGGCAATGGGCCCTAACCACACAATCCTCGAAACTGAACACGGAACAACCGGGAAAATAAATATTCAACATCTAACGGGGATAAAACCCAACGACGGAGAAAGGGGGAACAATGAGTGTAATTACTTCTAATTGATCGGGTGGCATGGCTCGGCCTTGCAGGCATGGTCTTACCAATGTAACATCATTTTATCCATATTAAATACGCTGTTCTATCTCCAGACCAAATGTGTTTTTCATCATGACTTGATGATTGTTACAACGTGATGAATCAGGGTAGACAATGATGTGACTTACACATAAGATCTTATAGATTAGGCAGTTACATCACAACAAATCTACAGTTTGAGGATTAGGTCTGTTATTAGAGCAGTACTAATATCGAAGTAGGCTATAATTCTACAGATTCACAGACTTTTTACTGCCACATCCCAGTTTCCTTCCAAGTGAGGTGATGTTGACCTTAAGGCGTTGCCAGCTAGAAGTTTCAACCCAAAGAGCTTGTCGTTGCTAAACACTCTTTTTATAGTTTTCAATCTTTGGTAGCATCTGGTCGTGTTTCTCCAATATAAGATGCAGTGCGATACAATATAGCAGTTAAAAAATGAACAGTGAAACCCTACATTCATCGTAGTCTTTTTCAGTTTAAAATCTTTTCCAGCCGTCTTGGAAATGAAAGAAATTAAGTGTAAGAGCCTGCTGAAATACACTCGTACATGAGTAAGAAATAAAAGTGGGCAAAAAAGGGAAAAACTGATATATGAGACTTTTGTTATAATGCGATAACATTAGAAACACTTTTCGCAAAATGATTTTGCTGATAAAATATGTGCACATATACTTACTCACTTACTTACGCCTGTTACTCCTCGTGAAGGAGCATAGGCCGCTCACCAGCATTCGCCATCCAACCCTGTCCTGGACAATCCTTTCCAGCTCCTTCCAACAAAAATTTTTGCTCTGGTTACTAAAAGGGGCATCGGCCTCGTGGCTTCCGAAGGAACTCGACTTTCATCATGAAGCGTTATAATTCTTCTAAATGAAGACTTTCTAACTCCCAAGGCACAGTTAAAATGGTTTGAATTATTTTTTCTGGTGAGCGTTTTTTTTGCGAGTTAGTTTTCTACGGGATGGGAACGCTAGCCCCATGCCCAACCCTCCTCCTTTTACCCAGGCTTGGGACCGTGTGGTGTTTGAACGAACTAATAATACCTTTGTACTTGTTGAATGCTCGATTTTGAATTCCAAATACAATACATTCGTTTGTGCTCGTGTCTCACTTCTTAATTCAATTGAGTTAATTCTGGGATTCCTAGTTCATAATGCAATTCAAATAATTCAAAACATTATATTGGCGTCGCGATGGAGCCTGCAATGGAAAAGTTAGATATTCATTCAACTTCTGAAACTTTTGAAGATTATTTTGAAAGGTTTGAAATCTGGGCTATGACCAAGGAAGAAGATGAGGATCATAATATTGTGGCACACTTCCTCACATTCATTGGAAAAGAATCATACAGCTTATTAAGAACTCTAGCTATGCCAGAAAAGCCTATCTCGCTTCCTTATACAACTCTCAAGGAACTACTGCTAGACTATGTCCAGTATACAAATTTCGAATGCGGTAAAGGAAGATCTCGTAAAATGATTCATGAGGATATAAAAAACACCAATACATTACTACGTCATACCAACCCAGTGCATACTCAAGGTTATGCAGACAATTCATTGAGTTTGGATGCAGTTCACGAGGATTGGGACACGTTTGGTCAGTGTTTGTCCTGTTGCAAGTTCCACTATTCTAATTCATGTAAATTCCGTAATTCTAAGTGCTTCAAATGTCGTGATATTGGACAAGTTCAGTCAGTTTGTAATGCTAATGTTCATCTTACTGTAACTAATATTAAGTCTTGTAATTCTGATTCTACTGAGTCGAGTATTCATGATGATCACTTATCTTTATCAACGATTTCAAAAGACAGTACAGAGTCATATGGCAGTTCAGAGTTAGAACAACACATATAAGCGAACAATTGTTTTCAATTAGATCGTCATCAGGCTTTACTCTAATATACATGGATATTTATACGAAAATTTTAAACCAATCAAGGCAATATGAGTCAATAATCACAATGAAATAGAATAAGTCACTACACATAAAATAGGTAAAAGTACAAGTTGATAGTACGAAGACAGGTGAACGGATAGTAGTAAGAATAATAAACTATAATAACAAAACTCTTATCAATAGTTAATCGTTGGAAATAGAAGGTCAAACAAACATGGGTAAGATAGTGAAGAATACAAAGAGGCGGATAATGACAAACAAATAATGGATGTGGAAATAAGGTTAACAATAACACAAATAGAATAAAATAAATAATGATAATAATAAAATTTAAAATACTACCAGGCAACTTAACCAACGAATGAGTGAACATTTACCAACTTGGTACATAAAGGGTCAGAGAAAAACTATTCGGAGTTCTATACTAGCACATCTTATTGATAGCGGTCATACAGTAGAGAAATCGAAATCATTTCGAGTTATCTATCGTATACCTCCATCATTTCCCGACGGAGTCCGTTCCCGTCTCCTATATATAGCTGAAGCCATTGGAATTCGTACATATAACCCCAATCTATGTGTACAGAAGAAATACGTGACTCCCCTATCCCTTCCATGGCCAGTTATAACTTAACTAACAATTTTTTTTTTAATTTTATTTTTATTATCATTATTTATTTTATTCTATTTGTGTTATTGTTAACCTTATTTCCACATCCATTATTTGTTTGTCATTATCCGCCTCTTTGTATTCTTCACTATCTAATTATTTACACACATCTTATTACGTAATGATTTTTAAGGTTTTGTGATTACTATTCCTAGTCTATTTACCCATGTTTGTTTGACCTTCTATTTCCAACGATTAACTATTGATAAGAGTTTTGTTATTATAGTTATTATTCTTACTACTATCCGTTCACCTGTCTTCGTACTATCAACTTGTACTTTTACCTATTTTATGTGTAGTGACTTATTCTATTTCATTGTGATTATTGACTCATATTGCCTTGATTGGTTTAAAATTTTCGTATAAATATCCATGTATATTAGAGTAAAGCCTGATGACGATCTAATTGAAAACAATTGTTCGCTTATATGTGTTGTTCTAATTTTCACAATGGGAATCTTTAAAATCCAGAAGTCTTGTGAGAACAACAGTTTCTAATCAACCGATTTATCAGAATTCTCATGCTATTGTACGAGGTATGACTTTTCCTAATGATCCACATATTTCTAATGAAATTACTTGCAATTCTGAGGAAAATATGTTAAATGAACCTAATCATGATCGGAAACCTGATGTGGTTTAGATAGATGCTGATTTTTCTAACGATCCTACGCTCTGCAATGACAGTCCTAATGAATTTCATAAGACTATTTCAGAAGAATCAAATCCTGATGTCATATCATATATTACCTATCCTCATAATGCATTTGATCCTTGTGAAAAACCTGCTCAATGCGAAGCACGAGTACTAAGTGACCTCGAGTTTGATTACATTTTAGATGATTTCATATCAACTGTTGTTTACCCTTATCACAAAAAAACAGTTCTAATGTTTACTCTAAACAATGTGAGAAATATGTTTTAAATGAAGCCACATTATTCATAACTTGGGGATATAAAGATCCAACATTATTTCGTGGGGGAGGATAGGATTGAAAAATCTATGGTCCTAATTCTAGATATTAATGATTTCGGTGCAAAACCGACATGCTGATTGTATACAATTCCAGGTGAGTCTGTTCCGATTTCGTTTGTTAATTCCAATACTAATGAGCATATTCTAGATACTACAAAGTTTTTATCTTATACAATGTCGGACAGACTCAGGATGAACTTAACAAGAAGACGTACAACGATTACAAACACTTATACTTCTGTTTAAGCTGTTGCGGATGTGGTGTTTGAACGAATTAATAATACCTTTGTACTTGTTGAATGCTCGATTTTGAATTCCAAATACAATACATTCGTTTGTGCTCGTGTCTCACTTCTTAATTCAATTGAGTTAATTCTGGGATTCCTAGTTCATAATACAATTCAAATAATTCAAAACATTATAGACCGGCAGTAACTCTAT